AATTATTATGTAATATATATATATATATATATATATATATATATATATATATATATATATATATATATTCTGACAGTTTTATTACTTCAAACATTATTTATAGTGGATACCTGTATTTGAAAAAGACAACCTGTTTTTATTTTAAACAGCATATCTTACATCTTTCAGCCTGCACACTTTCATCCAGTGTGCCTTAGACTGCTCGGCCACAGAGATTGAATAGCCTAACAAAATTTCTTAATGGATTTGGAGCAGCCTAAAGAATGCCAGATGAAACAGAGGTTTCTCTTACATTTCTTGAATGTTCAGATAGATTTAATACATGCTGTTTAAAATAAACGCTACACCTGTTTCAAGAAATAGGTATCCATTGAAAATAGCGTTTGAAGTAATGTGTGCATATATACACACACACACATATATATATATATATATGTGTGTGTGTTTGTGAAAAGTTAGTAGGTATACAGCAATGAAAAACAAAATGTGCACAAAACATTGTATTGATTGCATACTGTATACCTACTTTTGCAACCCATATATATATATATATATATATATATATATATATATTTGTAATACATTTTTGTAACCGCAGAATTTTTTTTTTCCTAGAATTGTAAGAGTATTATGAAAAGGCTTTTCTGTTTGGACACTTGCATATTTAGAAGAAAAAGCAAATTTTTGGTGATGTCACTCAAATTATTTTTTTTAATGAAGAGTTGGGATGTTTTGTATTTAATGACACTTCTGCACAAATGTTATATCATGTCACAAAGGTACATTTTTTTTCAAAAATTGATTTTATGTACACATACATGTATTTATTTATTTTTTAATAAATGCATCATACAAGAGAATTTACCCCCCCCCTCCAAAAAAAAAAAAAAAAAAAAAAAAAAAAAACTTTCTTACTGGATAGCCTCATCCTTGATTATATAAAGAAGAGAACAGATATTTCTATGGATTTAGTTGTTGGCAGGTGTTTTAAAAGGTGAGAAACTGTCAGGAGGTGGGTGGAGAGAAGCAGGTTGGAATTTGTCACAGCAGAGAAAGTAAAACAAATGATGTAATCAGAACACAGTGGGGAGGAGAGAAAGACAGAAAGAAAGAAAATAATATAGTGAAATACAGGCATACACAAGTTACATAGCTTCAATGGGACGTAATGATTACAACAAAACAATATAATTTACAATTGGGTTACCACAGCAATATGGCTGCAGTAACAGATACAATTTTTAGAGTCAAGACAAGAGTTAACTGTCTGTAAAAACACAGTAGCAAATTGCAGTAGTTCCCAAACTGGATTTAATTAAATGTCTTGCTTGAGGAATTTGTCTATTTGCTTGAGAAGGGTACACCACAAAACATTAAACTTATTTGAAAAGTTTCTGTTTTTATTTGTTTTTGTTTCATTTTTATTTTACTCATCTGGAATAAATCCATAATTTGAGATTTATTTGTTATGATGGTCACTTTATAAACACTGCCCAATTGAAAAGAGTTGAGCATTCATTATGGATTGCGTAGTTTGAAGTGAATTTTAATAATTGGAAACTTTTATTGCCACTAAACTTGAAACTCACTGAAAATTCAATATGAAAGGTTCAAAGTTCAATTTATTAGTTTCTGTTGTTAACAAAAAGCCTAAACTGTACAGAAAAAGAAACTAATAGCTACCAGATTTTAAACTGTTCAACTTCAGAAACAGGAGCTGTGACAACATGTAACAGCTGAGTGAATTAATCAAAGTCAGGAAGTAGTGGAAAATTATTTTGAGGAACCCAAAAAGTTATGACGCCCAAGACTGAGGTGGTAAATTCAAGATGCCTGATCTTGATGAGATGGCAGTTTGTGTGAAAAACCTCATCAATACATGGGGTAAATTGAAGCTAGATACAGGAGTTCAAACTCACAAAGTGGCCATCAGACAAACAATTATGAAGTCCAAATTCAGGCATTAAAAAAAAAAAAAAAAATTGAGAATGCAGTATCCAGCTTTAAAATTGGCCCATAAATAATGCAGACTGGATTTTTCAAGAGTTCAGACAATTAGAAGACTAATTGCAAATTTGTACCTAAGTTTAAAGCTTTGTGGTACAAATATAGACATGTTATCAGGCAAGTTGAAAATTAAAAACAGTATATTGATGATTATGATATTCATATTTACAGTAACATTTTCTTTTTTTAATCTTGGTTCATTTGTGTGTGTGTGTATATATATATATATATATATATATATATATATATATATATATATATATATATATATATATAATACATGAAGTATTTTTGTATCAACTTTTTTTAGAAAAAAAAAAAAAAAAAGAGGGGACTGGTGACTGAAATCTGGTTCTCCTCCCCAACTGTCTTACCACAAAACCTCAAAGTTTGAATATGCATCATTTACGTTTACACAAATCTTGTCTTTTCTCCCCTCTTTCAACACAGGCATCTTTTCTAAATTGATTGACATTGAACCTAATGGCTAGCAAAAAGATTGTGTTGCATCAATCTTTCAAGTGGAAAGAGCTTGCATACTTTGAAGGAAAAAAAAAAAAAAATCATCATCATTCAAAATTCTGATTTTTACATGGGCTTGAACCCTGATCTACTTTGAAGAAAAAAAATAAATTAAATTAAATCAATAAAAATAACCAGTATTCAATATTCCAATTCTTACATAGGCTTGAACCCTGATCATTAGGGCCAATGGGAAATATGCTATCTTGGTTACTAAACAAGCTATATGACTATAAAAAGGAATATTTAATAAATTTAGCATAGGCCAGTTGGTATTAAGGTTATAAGTTTGTGCTGCACCAATCTTCCAAGTGGGGAGGGTTTGCCTGCCTGCCTGCCTGCCTGCCTCAAAAATAAAAAGTTAGAATTTGGGTTTTTGCTCAACAACAAGGTAATTATCTCAATTTCTGAACAGGCTTAAAGATACACAATTTTAATGAAGAAAAGAAAATAATAATCAGCTGCCAGCCAAAATGATTTGTTGAAAAGATAAAATAATTCCAAGCCTAGAACGGAAAATAAATTTAAATAAAATGAAAAATAAGTACCAAATTTAAAACATACTTTTTATGAGATGAAATTCTTAAAAATGGTAAAATAGGTCAACTAAATAGATCAAATTTATACCCAAAAGCAAATATATTTAAACATTTTAATGAATGAAGGAAAAAAAAAAAAGCAGCGCCATTCTTTACGAGATGCTATAACTGTGGCACCCAGATGCACCCACTTTTAGATCACAATTGGTGAAAATAAAATTCGCATTAAAAAAATAAAATAAACAGTAGAAATTAAAAATATTAAATTACAAGTAGTTTAATTCGAAAATGCAACCACCCCCATGCTTTTTAAAATATAATTAATGAGTTGATATAATAAAATAATTAAAAAATAGGAATTTAAAAAATTACTACAAACTGTCATATTTTTTTTTTTTTGAAGACAAGAAAAACTTTTAGATGGAAAGATTTTGCCTTTGTGGTCAAACAGATATTTTATTATATATATACATATATATATATGAATCAGTTTGTCTGACGATCGCTAAAGCGTGAAACCCAGGGTCACAAACTCACATCTATCCAACCAAATATGTTAGCTCTATCTCTGATATTGAGCGCTTAATAAGTATCACAGATATAATATATAAATAATTATACATATATATATATTTATTTATATTTATATTCACTTTTCACATACACATATATATATATATATATATATATATATATAATAAAAGAAAAAATTGGTTAAAATTGTACAATGTTTGTCCCAAATGATAATATTGGGACTTTCATTGATGTTGGTTATAAATAATTTGCCACACATTTCCAAGACTAAATTCCAATTTAAATCATTTTAGAGAAACTTAATCACAAAGGCAGAAGGTGTTACAATATGGATGAATGAGAAACAATAACCAAATGTAGTCCCTGGTAATGAAGATTAAAACTATGGTTAAGAACCATGAAACATTACCAGAGAAGATGGCCATCAACTACAGAAACACATAAATGACAGGTTTCAATCTGGCTGCAATGACAACTAGTTCAGGTTAGGATAAAGGCCTTCTGGTAGGAAAGTAAGCTTGCTGAGAAACAGTCACAAAAATGTTTTTCATACAAAGATTCAAATGAAAGACTTTTATGATTTAGAAATGGAAAATTAAGATGAAAAGATTCTGGCAGCCTATACACTGAAAGTCAAATGTCACTTCTAATCTGCTCTCTACCATGGAGAGTTCAAAAAGGTTGCCACCAACATTCTCTTAGAAAGGTTTCCTTTCCTACTGCTTCTACCATATATAACTGCATATTATGTATCACAGTGAGTAGATGAGTACTGTTAAGTGACTCTCCTTGCCTTCTCAGATGTCCTTGGGACTAATCAACAGATATCTTAGCAGTTTACCGACTATCTTAATTTTATGAACTGTTGGCTTTGGGGAGGTACTGCATGTAATCAGAACCCACTTTGTAATTACTAAGTTAGCTTTATTATTTTAGAGGATTTCAGTCAATGAGAGAAAAAAATGCAAAGGAGATCCATACACTCAGTCATTCTCCCTTTGAGTTTATTTTCACTCCACCAAAAGGTGGCAGTTGCATAGGGAACATGTTGAGAGAAGCAGTGGTACAAATATTCTTTAATGTACCATAAAGCATCATTTGAGAAGTGGATGGGAATAAAACCCCATTATTAGATTAATGAATGATAATGTAGGTGGTGATGAGGGGGAGTTGCAATTACATATTAGTTACCTTTCTTTTCCCCACACCTCAAGAAAATTATAAATAACTGAATATTTTACTCATTGTATCAAAAAACAAAGTATAAATTGAAAAATAAAAACCAAGTTAAAGACATGGAAAAGGAAGAAAACAAAGAAATGCTGTAGTTTTCAGTTGATCCAATTCAGAAAAATCAAAGTAAAAAGGCAGTTACAATTTCACTAGGAAAACTGTTGGTTATATTAAGAATTTAGGACTGAATACATAGCTTTTTGCAAGTTTTGTTTGTTTTTGAGGAGATGGAGGTGAATGTGCCGGAACGAATTCTTGCTTTCTGATCAGTGATTCTTTTCTTCCATTTAACGTTTCACTAAATTAGAGAAAGAAAAATACTTTTCATAGTTGAAATTATAATTACAGAAAAGCATTTGCATACATACACTTATTTCCTTATTACTATGTTATATTTAGTAGGCACGTATATTTGAGTTGCTATCCCCATTTTTTTCTTCAACATTGAAATTAATAACTGGCCTAGATTGAGAAATAACTTAATTATCATTAATTTTACTGTTTAAGAAAACAAAAAAACTCGAATAGCAACCCAAATACATGGACCCACTAAAAATAACATTTAAGTAATAAAGAAATGTCAGATAAAAAATACATTAAAAAAATTAATGCATAATATACACTAAAAAAAAAAAATCATTACTGCAGAGTCATAACAGAAGCTGTGCCACCAAAATGATTATTAATTAATGAGCATAATGAGAGACAGTATGTGTTTTGATACTAATAACTTGAGAAATTAGTATAAATGACCATTTTGCTGAAACTGAATTGTGATAGAAATCACTTTTCCTCAAGAATTTAATTTAAGCAGAACTTGTTTTTTTTGCCAGTTTTGCTTTATTTGCAAAATTTATACCCATTTTTCTGTTATTTCTAAGGAAAAGAAATTAGTTGGTTTTGTTTAGTGGCCTATCAACATCTATCAGTTATTTAATGCTGAAATTTAGGTATTTATTTTATTTAGTGGGGGGTGTCGATAATAATGGTTTTAGTGATAAAAGTCTAATTAACCCATAGATGGGGGGAGAAGAGGTGGATTCATGCCTTTCCCAAGGGTATTGGCGTGAAAATAAATATAATTAACCCAACTAGAATTCAAACTTGATTCTCTGATTAACAATTCTGAGCCATTAACTCACATATCCAAGCTGACAGCACCTGGCATTCCCAAGCAGCCACCCATCTAGCTACTGACCAGGCTTAACTTCGGTGATTATACATGAAAAGGAATTGTAAATTAGCACAGTTGCTAGCAAACTAGAAATAAAAGCAATGATTATATATATATATATATATATATATATATATAAAAACAAAATATCTTGTGTGAAGTGTGCATGAGTGTGTGTACAAGTGAGTGTTCGTGAACAACTGTGAGTGAGAGAGTGAGCAAACAAGTGAGTGTTCGTGAACAACTGTGTGTGTGTGTGTGTGTGTTTGCGAACGAGTGAGCATGTGTGTGAGTGTGTGAGTGAGCGAGCGAGTGTGTGTGAGTGAACGAGCGAGAGTGTGTGAGTGAGCGAGCGAGTGTGTGTGAGTGAACGAGCGAGAGTGTGTGAGTGAGTGAACGAGCGAGTGTATGTGTGTGTGAGTGAACGAGCGAGTGTATGTGTGTGTGAGTGAACGAGCGAGTGTATGTGTGTGTGAGTGAACGAGCGAGTGTATGTGTGTGTGAGTGAACGAGCGAGTGTATGTGTGTGTGTGTGAGTGAACGAGCGAGCATGTGTGTGTGAGTGAACAAGTGAGCCTGTAAATTAGGGGGTGTGTGTATGTGAGATAGAGATAGAGAGAGAGAAAGGCATAAACCCTGTTTATTCATGCATACTATTTCTGTTGTAGTGCATACACAAAGTTGCCTTCTTCTGTTATCCATTTAAAAGAAAGAAACGTAAAGCCCCAATTGTGGGGACATCACTCAGTCTCCATTGATTGGATTTGCTTTTCACAGCTTATCAACTTTTCTCACATAACAACAACAAACCAAAACGGTAAAGAGAAATAGGAAAGCTTGTGCGGCTCTCAGAAAAGAAATTGCTTTTATTGTTCATTCCAACAAGCACAGTCATTAACTGACTCGATGAACCATTGCTTATGTTGAATATCTAAGCTGCTGACTTTGTGAAGACATTTTTTAAGCAAGACATACACACACAAAAAATCATATAAATAGTGGCATTACTTTGTTTTAGTTTTCAATCTGATGGCAACCAGTTCTTTTTTGGTTCTTTTGATTATGTTTTCTGTTAAAGCAAGACTCCAATAAAATTCAAGCCAAATTTTAACTGCTAGAAATGTGCGAATGTATGTTCATCGTATATGTAGGAGTTTAAAAATACATGCCTTTTGTAACATGATTCAGATAAAAATGTATTTATAGATGCATACACACATACATACAAAATAAAAAATAATGAGTCTTATTTTTATGTTCACTCCATCTTTGGCAAAAATTGTTCATTTTGACATTCTTCAGAGTAGCTCGACTTTGAGATTTCTACTTCCAACATCAGTAATTCACAGTGATAAGTTCATATTAAATGATATTAAATTGTTGGTTTCTATAAATGCAGTAGACAATACTGCCCTTGAAAAATTCATATCTAATTAGTTATTTAAAAAAAAAAAAAAGATACAAAAAATATATGAAAAAAAAAAAAAAAAGCTGATATTAGTTTGAGAAAATAATAAAATAAACCTTATTTAACTCATATCCCCCCCCCACAAGGTAAATTAAAAATCCTCATTGTCACTCTCTTCTGTAAACATTCTTATACCCTCAAGGCTTTTTTCTTTTAACAATATGGCAGCAGATGCATTAAAAATCACAATCCATCTTCCTCTAATTATTGTTATTATTTGAGGAGTTAAAACAATGACACCTGAAAATTGTAGTCTCTAAAAATCAAGTTACTAAAGAAGATTTTAATTGGCTTTGACTGATAAGATGAAAATGACTGTGATTGGTTGAAAATAAGGCGGCTCATTAAATAATTCAGGTGTCAAATACACAGCCACTGGATAGTGATATTATGACTAAAAAGAAAGCAGATAGGAAACATTTACACTATTTACATCATTCAGACTGCTGTCTTCATTTTTATTGCCATATTCACAATATTTCGGCCATTGTACACTTCGGCCTTCTTCAAGTGATATAAGTTGGAATTTTGAACTGAACCCTTTATTTAATCTATCTCCATGGACTAAATAAAGAGTTCAGTTCAAAAGTCTAACATATCTCTTGAAGAGCATATAATGGTCAAAACATGAATATGGCAATAAAGAGGAGGACAACAGTTCAAATGATGTAAATAGTGTAAGTAGTTGAAATACCTCATATTAAAAATAAAGATAAAAGATAGTAAAAGAGAATGAATTAAGAAAATGATTTAAAAAAAAAAAAAAAAAAAAAGTCATTGTTTCCTTACTAATCCTTGCATATATTTTATTCTTACTGTTTAGAATGTTATGACATGAAAAACTACACTGGTCTAAGGAAAATGATCAAAATGATCAATGAAGAGAGAGTAGGAGGAAAGGGAAGGAAGAGAAGCCAGGTAGGAGAGAAAGGGGAACTGAAGTGAGACTGATAGAATAAAAGCTAGAGATAATATTCAAGAGAATTCTGGTTATAGTGCATAGAAGAGAGGTCAATAATTCAAACTGACACAATGCAAATATTTTTAAAAAATGAATTAAACCAGAATTATTGATAATGGATGGTGACTGTGGTTGTAGTGACTGTCAACAAATCTGTCAAGAACATTCAAAAAATTTCCAGACAACTGAACTCATTCTTTTTATTTCACCAATTTTTGTTGTATACACAATATTTCGGCTGATCCATTCTTTCTTCAAGTGTACCATACATATGAAAAAAGACCATCTTTTTTTTTTTTCCTTTCTTTTTACAATAGGACAAAGCTAAAAACAGTTGCAAACAAAGTTGTGAGAACAACAAAAATCCTAAAAGAATGAATTCAGTTGGAAAAAAAAAATTTCTTTGAATAATCATGGCTCTTAAAATTATAGACAAATGTGAAACCATTTGAAAAAAAAAAATGATTAGAGAAAAAAAAAAACAACTTGTAGGGAGAATGGATGACTGAAGAGAGAAATGCAAAAGAAAAAAAAAAAAAGACAGCCAACTGCTAAAATCTAATATGTATGAGCGGTACAATGGTTGTTCAAATATTTTTATTTGTTTTTTGAATAATTGTATGGCGTTTGAGAAAAAAATGTGGAGCAGACAGGGCATTACCACACAAAGAATGTGGTAGTAGTAATAGTAGTAGATGTTGGCAGAAGGAGCAGGGTTATGCACTGGATGGGGCAGGGGAAAAAATGACCCAGAACATACAAGACAGGGAGGAGGTGGTGTTGGTAATGGGCTGGGTGACATGACACAAAAGATACCAGTGGTGACAGATGCACATGTACGCACAGTTGGCACGGAGATACACACCAAGGAGACACAGGGATACGGATGCTGACAGTGCCAGCCATTTTGCTCCTCATCGTCGCTGTCTCCTACATACACTCTTGTGCCCCTTATGCCAATGGTCCTGTTGACACTGGACACTGCAGTATGAAGTGTTCCAGCAGCAGTGATACATTGCTTCCTCTTCACAATAAAAACACTGGAAAGAGAAAAGAAAAACTTATTTAAATGTGGGTTAAGATTGGTGAGGGTTAACAAAAAAAAGAAAAAAAAGTGGAGGTGCAGTTTACCGAGTGGTTTTATTACAGAAAAAGAAATAAGGAGTGCATTAAATTTATTCAGAAAATAATTCTGGCAAGTCTGTAATCATAGTATTTTGATAGATGCACTCTTCAGCCTTCCTCATAAACATAATTCATTTGTTTAACTCTTTTCTAAAAATGATAGATATGAACAGTAAAAATTCACTCAGATTGACAATTTGATTGCCTTTGAGATACAGAATAAAGTCTGGAACGAAAAAAAAAAACAATTATATGTACTGAAAAGATTGTAAAAACAAATTTATATTTGAAATGCTAACAATGTAGATTTTTCAGCAACTGAAAGTACTTACAAATATTTTATATATATTTTAATTTACAAAGAATCAGTTCCTGATCCAGTAGAGAATTCTTAAAAAAAGGTAGCTGATGCAGCCTTTTGTTCAGTTCATACCTTGCCTCCTTGCTTCCCTGTGTAATATTTTGATCTCATTTCAAATAGAACAATGTACACATTTTTTCTTTCTATATATATATTCTGGTATGTCAGATTTCATGGATTCACTTTTGAGTCATTTTAGAAGATCAGCTTTTTTCCTTGTATCCCTTACCATAAATTCATAGGATGTTGTACACACAATTATATGACCTTTTGTCAGGATGTCATAATATAATTTTGCTTTGCAAAAAGAATACTGGTTTGATTTTATACTGACCACAAATATAACTTTAAAAAAAAATTCTTACACATCCAAATCTCAAAGAAAATCTTTTGATAATAAAAATGAGGATAATTGACTGGAATAAGAAAAACGAGTTACTTCCCTTGGAAGTATAGATAAAAAGACTCAAATAAGAAACGGCGAGTGACTTCCCTTTGTCAAAAGTTGATGGTCATGAAGTCAACTGCATACCTCTCTGTCTCGGATCTTTATAATTGTAAGAATGATTCTCACTGAGTGGCCTATAATTTTTAGCTTGTGTCAAAATATTTTGTGGCGACTTGCTTTGCCGTGAGGTAATAGTAATCAAGACAGTCTTGAAGATCACAACTACTGTGCCACAAGTTCAAACTTCCATGTTGCATTAAGCTAAAGGGAGTACGATAATTTAAACATCTCTGAAGTTTTATTTTAATTGCAAGAAAATTTAGTTGTGTAAAAATTTTTCTACGTAAGTTTAAAACTTTTAATATTTGTAAAATTTTTTTTACATTTCTGTTAAAACAAATTCTTCTTTTTTTTTAATCCTTCCACTCCAAGCATGGTAATAAAGCCATTACGACACAAGAAGTTACTGATTGCAAGAGAATGAGAAAAATAAAAAATAAAAAAAACACTAAAGAATGAGAACAGTAAAAAACAGGAATTAAGACAAAAGATAATGACCAACATGGCATTTAAATTTTTGAAGATCAAAAATGACTCTTTCAGCTTCTTGCTCGAAAGCAAGAAGAAAGATCCACAAATGAGAAATGAGAGAGAAACTCTTAGCATAGAATTTAGGGTTACATCTAGCAATTTCAACCATAAAATGATGAGACCTTGCCACCAATCTAGTATTGTATTTAAATACATGAAGTCTAGATATCAAAGAGAAAAGTTCATCAGAACAATTACCATGAAAATATTTATAGAAAAGTCACAGGAAAGCTATGTTACAGTGGTGGAGAAAGTGATGGTAACCAAGAGCCAGGTCAGGACCAATAATATTGCAGACTTCTTTGTATTATTTAAAATCTCTAAATACACAGTTGAAACACCAGACCAGATGTAACAGCAACATTCAATGCATGGACAAATAATATACTTATAAATGTGTAAGATAGATTGTGATGAGAAAAATGACACCATGGACCAACATTCCTAGCAGCAAACCTAGCAAATGATTCCATATAATCTTTACACTTCATGCAGTTTTAGCTCTTTGTGGGTGAAGAGGTAGGTGTGCATGTTAAGTTTTGGTGTGAATTTTTTTACCCTTTTGATTTACAGACCCAGTATTTTCTGAAATTGATCCACTATGAACCTACACCATTCTTAATTTGGCAACCATTGCTACAACAAAACACTCAGTGTTATAGTTGGAATTGGTATTCTTTGAAGAGGAGTAGAGTTTTCTCCCTTGTTTCCTGTTTAAGATTGGGTATCCAGTTCCTTTTAAAGCCTTTTCCATCTCTTTCATTTCCGATGACTCCTTGTGTCTTAGTGGCATTATCTCCTTGCTTGGGATGGTATCACTTAGTTCTTGGGTCTTGTATGTAATGAAATTCAATGTTAAAAATAACAAAATACATGCAAGCTCAAAGACTGCTGCAACCGTTTTAACATTCCTTCCAAGAATTTGGTACAGCTGTACAGGGCTTAATCCTTACAGAATATTCACCATTTTAGAGTCTATTGCAACACATTAACATTTGTTTTTTTTGCAAAGCTTTCCATCACCTTTTCCATCATTCATTCACACAAGTTTTCAGATAGGTAGCTCATTGTCATCATCTGTCCATTTTGCCTTTGATTTTCCTTAAGTGTCAAATTCTCCAAGCCATCCTACCTTATTATGTGACTAAGAAATGTCCAGTCTCTTTCTGATTCTGAAAATTGAAAATTTGTATGTCCTTTTCGCTTCCATTGTTCTTAAGAATTCTTGGATCTTTAAAAGGTGATGTTGACTTGTGTAGATGAGGTTCAAATCTAGTTGCACCAATTTTGAGGATCTTGCCATTGGTTGGGCCCTTGTTTCAGATATATTTCTGGTAATTTCCCCCTGACACACAGTCATAAATAGTAATTTTTTAAAATCTTTACTTATTAAAGAAAAAAAAGAAAAGAATTATATATAAACTACACCAGTTTGATACAGTTTTCAAATAGCTAATAATGCTGACAACAGAAAAAAAGTAATTTTAGATAAAATATCACAAAAGAACTGTTAAGTATATTTCTTGCACAGAATTCATTTGTTCAAGATTCAGGTGAGATGGATGATAGAAAGAGGTTCATTTTCAATTCTAATTCAAACACTTGACTAATTTTCTAACAATTATTGATGTGATGTCAGCGAACACTTGTCACTTTTGTAATGTCAACGAATGCTCATTGTAGTAGAGACTTTATAATCATAGATACAACTATAGTAACGCCGTTGAACAATACTGGTGTCAGATGCCTTCAAATAATACTTGCACTAATAGCATATTGTTCAATGATACTCACTTGAAAAGTAACCACCGAATACTAATCCATATAGCAATCATTTAGATGCCACGCTAATTCCCATATATACATTTCCTTTACCATCATATGATCTACTTATTTAAAATGGGATCGCCTGTGTTTGCTCTCTGGTGATCTGTGTTCAAACTCCAGTGTTGGCTGCAATACTTTATTCCTATATAACAAATTATTAATTAGTACTTGTGGTGCTGACAAAAGGAAAATAGAGTGATTAAAATTGAAAGAATCTCCAATGAGTCTTACCAAGTGTCCAGAAATGCTTATCAGTAATCTTTTATTTATCATCGCTGTTAGAGTTAATAGTGTTTTAGAAACTTTAATTTATTTTACACAATTCCATTTTGGCAGAGAAAAAAAAACAACATTGTTGAATATCTAAATACACAATTTAAAGTTCTAGTAATGAATGATGCAAGCAAGGTATCAAAGGTATATCAGGCAGTGTAGAGTGTTTTAATTAATATGCTTGATAAAGTCCAAAGAAGAATTTGTGGTGAGTCTGTTTCATGCTTAAACACAATCTTCAGGCCACTATCGCCACAAGGTTTTGACCTCGACATACACTTATATTAAGCACTTAACCCATGAATATCGCATACCTTAAAACTATATTTTTATCATATATATATATATATATATATATATATATATCTGGCCACTCGTATTTGAGGATACCCATCTATTAGGGTGACTAGCCAATCCCTATTGCAGACGATCACTCAGGCACATTTGTGTTTGTTCAACACCCACAGAGCCCACGTGTGGCTTATACTGCAACTATTCTGAGCAGACCTTAGTTACAATTTCTGGGAGAGAGCATGTTATCTAGCATGATCAACAGTCTGAACAAGGCTAATACTCAAAACCTCAGTCACGATGACTTGTGACTTTGTGCTAGCACACCTATTGACAGACCCAAGGGTTCCATCTAACCAATTTCACTCACAAGGCTCACTGGGATTGTCCAACCTCCAGACTGATAACATCAGGAAGTCTCCTTCCTGAGAAATCCACCATGGTGTGATTCGAACCCGAGTCTCATGGTCAGAAAGCAAACACACACACACATATATATATATATATATATATATGAGAGAGAGAGACTCCATCCAAAAAATGTACACTCATTTCAAGAAAGGAAAAACTTGTCATTTGTAGTTTTATCAAATTGTGATAACACTGTTTACTGTAGTACAATATTTTCTTGACAGATGGCATTACATTAGCAGCCCTTAGAAACAAGAAATTGAAAATGCATGTGCAGTAATGCCACTAGACACTTTGACCAATGTTGCCCAGGCAGTAGTTTGATGTACTGATAAATGTCTGGAATATAAAAGGCCACCATTTTGAGCCTCTCTTGTGATTGTAGAGGCCAGAGGTAAGTTTTATTAATCTTGTGATGTCTGAATAAATTTAGTATTAGTGTAACCCAGATATAAGAGAAACCCGGATATAAGAGAGATTTTCTCTGGTCCCAAATTAGAGCCTGTGTTAATGTATATAAAATAGACCAAACCCGGATATAAGAGACTTCTTCTCTGGTCCCAACAACTCTCATATCCGGGTTACACTGTACAATATCTATACAAGTTTTTCCTTTTCTGAAGTGTGTATACATTTTTCTGGTTGACCAAGGGTTGCTGAGGATTTTTTTTTTTTTTTCATATTTATCCAAATTCATTTTGAGTTTTCTTTTTTCTTTTCATCACTTTTGTTAGTAGGTATCCAAAACTCTGATAATAGAATATCTACCAGGAATGGTGAAATGTCATAACAGCCAGTTTACAAATTTACTGTAGATGACCTTGCGATCAAAGCTCTCTCGACATTTATGTTGTAGTGAATTGAGCAGTCATACTAACAAAACCTAGTCTGATGAAGTCCTGAAGGACAAAATGTGTCACAAGTAAACTTTTTCCACTTTGTCATACATTTTCCCATTATATATATATATATATATATATATATATATATATATATAAAATGGGGAAAATGTATGACAAACTGCTTCCCCCAATTTTTTTTTTATGGCTATCATGTTAGTTACGATTGATGACTGAAGATATTAACTTGCTTCAATAGATGGAAATGGTCACAGAACTTACCCATTGCTTTTTCTTTATATAAGAGATATTTTCTTTGTGCTTCTGTGCCAACTTCTTCATCTCATCCATACATTGCTCCTTACTGCGTTCTGTTGTTTGCCTGCGCACCCTCTCAATTTCCCGTTGCATATTAGAGAGGGCACGAGCCACAGCCTGCTGCTTATCATCCTCAAAGTCTTTTTGGAGCTGGATAAAAAGATTAAAATTTACAAATCAAAACAGATTCTAATGCAACAAAGCAACATTACATCAATGACAACAATAGGGTGTTCTGAAAGTAATTACCTATTATTAGAAAGAATTTAAAATAATATCTAAATTATCATGTTTGCCAGCCTATTTGGATGCAAGCTTTTTCCACTAAAATTTACCCTGCATCCAATACAGCAGTATCATGTATGAGAGGGACATGAAAATCATGAAAAAAGTGGAGTTAGCCAGGAACACAGAGTTTAGCTCTGAAACTAGGACTCCTGATATGATATCAATAAAAATATCATTGAAAAATTCACCCAGAAAAAAGAAATTTATGGACTTGCACAATATTTGTGTTGTAAAGTAGTTTCCACAGTGGAGGCTTATATTTTACTGAGTCGGTCCTAAATTAGGTTCCAACATACAAAACGTTAGGAACTTGAAATAATAGTTAATGACGCAGCAATCTAGTTGTGGGGGCTCATACTTTAATGTCCGACATCGACTGACTCGCACAACTCACTGAGCTCCACTGGCGACTGCTACTACTACTACTTATTATCTGTGGGAGAGTCTATTTACAATAGAAATAGGTATGTTCCAGTATAACAATTTGGCTGCTTGTTTTGTAGAAATACCAAATTTTACATAAATATTTGCTTTATCTGTTATATTGCTGCTTGTTTTGTGTGTGTTTTTGTTGATACAGTTATTGGAATTTGCTTTTCTGCATGTACGGTATGGGACTTCATTTACTAACAAGTACCATATTTCTGGGTTTTTTGTGGGGGTTTTTTGCCTATTACCATATGTATCAGTGTTCACTGATATCAGTAGATTTTTTGTAGCTATTATGAATTTACTGTATGTACTGATGTTCCATTTGGAAAAACAACTAAAACAATTTTCAATAAATGCATGACGAAATGTACTAAAATTTGGCCATTTGGAAGTAAGGGTCAGAGGCATGAATAAGAGAAGGTTTGAGTTATACCGGCGGTCTGATGCCTGCAGCCGCTACCCATGGTGGCAGGCAATCTCCTAAAATTTGGAGATAATTTTACAAACCAGACAGCAGAGCTCTTGTTGGAAGACAGGGAGAAACCCCAAATCCTCAGATACCATCAGCCCCATGCCAGTCTTGAATCAAAGCAGAGCACTTTGAACAAATGTGTGAGTTGGAGCAGCAAGCCAAAGAGATGAGCTGCAGACAAAACCAAATAGCAGGAGGAGCTGCTGAAACCCACATGACCTGCTGGAGAGAATCCCCAACTTGAGCTTTGTTCCACAATTAACACCAAATGACACTATAGAGAATTGCATGGGAAAGGTTAATAATTTTTTACACTGTAAAACAACATAAAACCAAATCAAAAATTTAACCTATGTCTGTTTTTGTTTGCATAATTTTTGCAAAAAGACAACTCTTTACTGTTATTTATTTTTTTTTTACATCATAGCCAGTTCACTGAGATTTAACTCAATGCCTCGATCACCACAGTAATCAAATCTGCCAACCCTGTGATCAAGAACACAACATGGGCAGGGCACAGTGGACCTGAAGGTGCAGCAACCAAAACCAGTTGAACCAAATGATGACTGCACATGTGGGATTGACCAAGAAGGTCAAATCCAGAGTTGACACCAGCACAAGAGTTTTTTTCATTTTGTGATGATCATTGTCTTTTTCATTTCTATTGACATGCAAAACACATTTTTCATCACCTGTAATGATGCAATACTAAAATGAAAGGTCGACATTCTTGGTTAAAGTTAATTGCTAAGTATTTACTTGATGGCCACACTACAAGATTGTTTCACATTAATGTGGGGGAATTACCCAGGTCTTGGACCAATGTTTTTTTTTTCTTATCTTCATCAATGACCATCATGATGTCATCAGTTCTCAACTCAATATTTATGCTTATGACAAAACTATTTACTTGTCTTAATAGTAAGTCTCATCGGTCTGATAAAGTAAAACTAGTAGCTGCATCCAAAATGAACCTCGGATCACTTATTAAAATTTCAATGGCTTGTAAATTTTAACATGTCAGCTTTCTTTCGATTTTAGGAAAATCTGACAAAATGGGAAAAAAATTTTTATGTGAAACACAGGACAAAATGAACATAAAGATAGTGGGTTATTATTGAAATAGTTATGATGAATGATGTGCGTGATATGAAAGGTCATATGAAGTCAAGATTATGATGATAAGGAGTATAGATAATAACTAACCCTTGACTTTAAGATAAGATTCCAGGGTTCAGGAAAGCATCCACATGGGAGTGTTTCACAAAGTAGCAGTTATTGATAGAAAGTGAGTCAAACGTTCACCTTAGGTTCAAAATATGGAAGAAATGAAGGTGATTTGACTCTGTGGAAGTAGTAGTTGTAAAGGTCTGAACTGATGGAACTAATTGACCTCACCTGAAAATTTGCCATGGAAATAGTGATAGGGTAGTGAAAGCCTTGTCACATTGCGTCTATGGGAAAGAGGGTAATAGATATACAGGGTGCAGCAGAAATACCTCCCACATAATGGTAAGACATTAACTAGATGAAGATACCATTGCCACTAATGTCTTACCATTATGTGGGAGGTATTTCTGCCAAACTCTGTATAATCATTAGAGAATTAAAATTGATATATTTAATAAAAACCTCCCCATATTATAACAAACTTATTTAAAAAATGATCGTCTCTTTGTACCGCTCCAGTAAGTACCTGACTCCTCATGCTATCCTCTACCTTTATAAGAGCCAGATCAGGCTGAAAATAGAATCAGTTATATGCTATGCATCATCAAAGCTTGGGCGTTCATGTATCTTTCGATACATGACTGACGAGACAGATTTTTTTCCCGCAGTAGGTTGCCATTTCTTTCTGAAGTAGACCAGTTACCATCCAAGTCTGTCCTGCTATTTACCCATAGCTTGGGGGGGGTGGAAGAGGATTCATACTTTTCCTAAGGATATTAGCATGTAAGCGAATGTAATGGATTCGACTGGAATTCGAACTCGGCTCTCCGAGTCCTCAATCCAAGCCACTATCCATTACTCCAGTGTGCCTCCTAGAGTACTGTTGTCATATTTGGGCAGAAACTACCCAGTCCTCACTTTCTAGTCTTGATACAGTTCAAAAGTGTTTCCGAGTCCTTAGTGGACAAGAATTCTTTTCCACCCTCTCCCTCACAGGTGGGATGTGGTAAGTCTCTCACTGCTCTATTGCTACTTCTATGGAAAGTGCTCAGATGAACTACATTACTTGTATAACCTTCATGGCCAGAACCCACCATACCACTTACATAGTAGCAAACCAATCACATTCCTTCTGTATTACATCAGCAAGAAGTAAGTTCCACTCAAACAGCTTCTTCACAGAAACCACTGCTCTGTGGAACAGACTCCCAAGAGGACGTTTCCTCAATCACTAGGATCTTAACCTGTTCAAGTCTAGAGTTAACCGTTATCTTCCCCTCTGATCCATATAAACTACCCCTTAGCATAAACATCTACCTGGGCCTTGTACACGGTGAACATTACTATTAAAAAAAAAAAAAAAAAAAAAAAAAGGAATTTTAAATGTTTGTGTGTGCTTATCATAGTTTCAGATGGAATTAACTTTTCAATTTAATGATATCTCCATGTTTTAGACTTACGCGCTCGGCAAGTTCCTTGAGTTCCTGGTCTCTAGCTTTTTTGTGGTCATTTTCCATCTTCTCTTCAAATTCACTAAACATGGAACTAAATTTCTCTTCACACCGACAATCCTTTGTACTGTTTGTGTCTGTCTGGGTTGACTTGTTGGACTGGTAAGAAAAGAAAGAAATATTCTTAAATACTATCCATTCTGCAAGAAATTAAAATGAAACAATCCCTTTTCTCCGGTCTACACTGGCTGACTCATACTCAGCACACAAAAACACACAAATGAGTCTCAATCTACACATGATTTTACTAATTTCTGTTACATTTGGCAAAAATAGATTGAATGGATTTTGTGAGAATACTTTTTTAAGTGACTCATGGCTTTGTAGTAATGTCAACAGAAAAAGTTCTATTAAAAGTTCAAAGCTTTGAACTGTACACTTATTCAAAATGAATTTTCATTTGATTAGTGCCTTTTCATTGATTTTTTATTACAAAAACAATACATGTGAACAAATTTCATACTTTTTTGAAGTAGTTTTTTTTTTTTTCTTCTTCCAAGATCAATTCTTTCAAAAAATTGATCATTTCATCTTTGCCTAATTATGAACAGTGATTCACTAAGAGTAATTTGCTATCAGGCTAAATACAAAATATCATTTGACAACACAGAAGAGAAATAACTAAAAACAAAACAAAAAAGGAAAAATAACTAAAAAAAAAGATGCTAAAAAGAAAAAAAAATATAACAAAAATAACAAACAAAAAAATAAACACAAAAAATAGGTAAAAGTTTGTTTACTCAATAGAAAGAATTTTGTACTGCTAAAAGCCAAAATGTTTGTTCTCCAGAGAAAAAAAATAAGAGTTAAAGAAAATGAAGTATAGAGATTGGGCAAATTTATAATTAGTGTAGAAGAGGCATATTTGAGATATCTTAATCCTGATCAAGTGTTACGGCTGGATCACGTGGCAATTTTTTCAATTAATGCAAGAAAGACATGGGACATACTACAGAGAAGTGTTTACATAGACAAAACTTGTATTAACCAAATTCTACTTGGATGCAGATGCTAACAAATAAAAACAAAGACAGACATCAAATAAGGATCAAACTCCTTACACCAACAAAGGTTAACAAAGACTCTCAATTATCACTTTTGCTTGATCCCATGACTTCAGAAACTGAATATCAAACTTTGAAGGATAAAATGAAACTATATCTGTCTATATTTCTCAGAATGTAACTATTTACATTATTCATGTTGTTATTATTATCTTTATTGCCATATTCACAACATTTTGACAGTTGTATGCTCCGGCCTTCTTCAGTTGATGCATGTTGGAATTTTGAACCAAAGCTTTTATTTAGTCCAGTGGTTTCCAAACTTTTTTTTTCTCTAGGCCGCATTTTCAGAATGAAAATTTTCTCGCGCCTCACCAAATCTGATGTGATAAAAAGTACATTTAAAAATAAAAAACAGAGAGAGGGTTAATGAGAGATAACCAGAGATTTAAAGTTTCTCCTCAAATTTGTGAGCCCTAGTTACTATATTCTTAATACTTGACATAGTGCAAAAATATCACAATGATAAAATCTGCCAATAATTATATATAACTATTTATATTGGAACTCATGCATGCAATTACAAGTAATCCATAATATTTTAAATTTTGAAATCATATTTATTTTTGGTATATGAATTTTTTAAAACAGTTTCTAAATCTTTGATTGTCTTTCAATTATTCTGCCTCACCTGCTATCCTCTTCTACCATACCTGTAAAGTGTGCTGCAGTGTTTGGGAAACACTGATTTAGTTCATGGGATAGATTGTTCTAATTCTATGTGCCACACCTTTTTTTAGGTTAATTCCCTTTAGTGACTTAACTTTTCGTTCCCTTCACTTTGGCCAGGTATTGAACTCAAACTCTTTGGGTCAAGTGACTTTTTGAATTACTCAACTAAAGCTTTTATCCACTGGGCCATGTATCCTTCGGGACTAAATAAAGGGTTTAGTTTGAAACGTATATCACCTAAAGAAGGCCAGAGCACACAATGGCTGAAACATTGTGAATATGACTATAAAGACGAAGGCAACAGTCCGAACAATGTAAACTGTGTAAATAAAATGAAATTAGTATTATCAAGTTACATTGTACTAACAGCTAGGAAGAGTCATTAAACACACTGTAATTTTAGTTAGGAATATTTGAGCCACTTACTTGTTACAGTGACACAGAGTATTTACTAGTTTATATATGCCGAAGGTCCGAGATGACCCCCCCCCCAACACCAGGCCTCACTGCCAACTATCTCCAGGTACAAAAAGATAAACTGATCAATCTGCAATAGTTTTTTTTTTTTTTTTTATAGTATAACAAGAGAAGAAATTCTAATGGAAGTACCAGGGTTGGAAATGCCTGACAAGCGGTGTGTTTGCACATGACCTTGGACATTGGGCTGGGACTGGAGATCTTGTCCACACTGGAGGATACCACGTTGACATTCTCTGGATTGGAGACCTGAAAAGATTAAAATTTAAAAGTTAAATCTTTTTTTTTTTTTTTTCATATAAAAATCAAATTGACAATTTCACAATTAATTAAAAGCAACAGATTCATTCCACACACGACTTGTTTATTGTTTACATATTGTTTACTATTTACTTATATAATTGTTTACTACATATTGTTTGCTATAGGGATGTAGTGATGACTAAAAACAAGATAATCCAAGCAAATTTCATCATTGCTGGAACTTGTTAATTTTAACACCTCCAAAACAAACCTGCTCTCTTTTCATCACCTGAGAGAACCTTTTTTTTACCTGGCTATCACTGGGGGTTGATGCTGACCCACAGAAGAGGGACTTCTTGGGTTAACATTTTCTACTGACATGAAGTAGAAAAATTATACCCAATCCATTGTTAAATCTGCAGCTAGAAAATTTGGCTCACTGTGTCATGCGAGACAATTTCTCTCAACAGAATCTATCTACTTTATGTCTACCATTCACCCATGCATTGAATATTGCTGCTATATCTGGTTTGGGGTTTCTCTGTATTTAGAGATTCTTGATAAAATCCAAAAAATCTGCTATTGGTCCTGACCTGGCATCTCAGCTTCAATCACTTTGCCCACCACTATAACATAGCTTCCTCGTGCCTTTTCTATAAATATTCATGATAATTGTACTGATGAGTAAATAACTAAACTTTATAAATTTAAACACAATACTAGATTGGCAACAAGGTCTCATCACCTTACAACAGAAATGGCTACATGTAACTTTAAGTTCTATGCTAATAGTTTCTTTTCTCACACTTCTCACTTGTGGAACACATTTCCAGCTTCTTTCTTTGCAGTCAACTTTATCTTCGAAATTTTAAATGCAATGTCAATTATTACTTCTGTTTTTTTAAACCTTGTCTTTTTATTGTTCTCTCTCCTTAATTTTTTTTTCTTCATATTTTTGCACACTCAGTAACTCCTTGAAGCTTAGTGGCTTTATTGCTTTACTTGAAATGATTAAAAGATGAAAAAAGAAAACATAAAAATTCAGAATTACTAGGTCCTCAAGTTTTATTTCAACAAACCACTCAAGAATAAGATCTACTTTCAACAAGGATATGACATCATAGTTTGGCAAGCTAATCAGAAATAAAATCCATTTCCAAGAAAGACATGACATCATGATCTCATGAATCAATCTGAAGGCAAGTGGCAATTTCTAAAATGGATCTTCTTGTTTGGCAGCATCAGCATATGTAGATAAAGAGATGGATAACCTGAATTCCAGACCAAAATACTAAACAGATACATGCCCCCCAATACACACATTTATTACAAAATAAAGAAATCCAAAATTACCTCATGAGAATAGCTATTTCAACTAGTGTTAATATGCTAGTATTTTTCAACTCAAATAGTGTGCAGATACAATGTTAAAAACTTAAAAATTAAATATTTGAAAAAAAAAAAAGAAAAAAAGAAAAAGCAGAAAACAATGCAATCATTGACCGAGTTAACCAAAGAAACTGGAATTTTGTATTTCTATTGTATATAATTTATATGCTATGTTATAATAAATACACTGAGCGCTTCTCGTGGATAAGTTTTAATATTTTATTTATATTATTAGGATCCACTTGAATTATTACCTGTACTATATATATATATATATATATAAAACACATTGATTTCTCTCTTTTTCTAGAGTTGTAAAATTTTGCAATCACAAAAAAAAAAAAAAAGACACCAGCATGCTTCCATTTCATTGCCTCTACTCCCCCTCTTCTTTACCCATGACATATCCATTAGACCAGCAGTTTCTTCCTTATACCCCTTTATTCCTCCAACCATTCTACAAAAATGCAACCCACTCCCCCCATCTCTTTCACTTAATAAATTCCTTCCTCCTCCTACTTGTTAACTTGCTTAAATGATAAAACATTAAATGACCTAAGCACTTGTCATCACTGAAGAGTTCAAGTGAGATAAGTGATAATCCACATTGCAGCTCCTTTCATTTAGTACACTTCTTTTCTTTTTCAAAGTTGAAATGTACCAAGTATTTCTAACAATTTAAGTGTAGAAGCCCCTCTTTTCTGTCAAGGAATCTGCCAATTGTAATTTCTCATCCACTTAAAACACCTTTATTTCCCTTTTGACACCATTTCTCTCAATCATGCCATGTCCACTCTTAATCTTCTCTCACTAATAATGTTTGTAGTTCTCAGACCACTAGTTAGCAATCCATTGTCTGTATAGCATTGTATAGTCAATTAACCCAGTAGTCAACAGTGATCAGACATTCTGATCCTTGCCACACACAAATCAATTGCAGGGTCAATTCCACATGGTTCTATACTATCTCAGGTCAATGGGTGTTGTTCACTTTGGTCCACATCTTGCTTTGCTCATGTTGTGTTTTTTGATCACTGAGCTGGTGGGGATAAATTAATCGTCAGTATCATAGTGCTGATTCAAACCATGGTGAGCCTGTGCTATGATGGGGAAAAAATAGAAATGTCTTTGCAGACAAAATAAAAATGGAAGCAGTCTTTTGATCAATTTTCGATTTAGTTTATGTAGGTCTTGGTATACCAAAAATTACTACTAAAATCTCTTTAGTTACATCTTTCCTATCGGTGTGAATTCTTGAAACAGGGCTCAAGGTCGAGAAATCACTTTGCAGCAAGTCATGTAAACTTCAGCAGCTCCTTTGTTTGCTGCTGTCTGGTCTGTCTCTCTCGTCATCTCTGGCTCCAACTGCCTGGCTTGCTTAAGTGCTTTGTTTTTATTGACCGATTCAAAATCGGAGCAGGGGCTGATAGTGCTTGGAAATTTGGAGATTCCCCAGGTTTCTGTATTGATTCTTTGTTGTCTGGTTTGTAATATTAATTATCTCTCCAAATTTGGGAGATCCCCTCCTCCTATAGGTAGTGGTTGCAAGTATTGGCCCACCCATATAACTAATCTCTTCTCTTATCTATGCCTCACACCATTACTTCTAAATGAGCATAGATAATTTCTATCTCTCTTAGTATTTCATTTGAGATACTAAGAGAGACAGCCCACCACCTCAGCTTTTTCTTTGACCACTCTTTCAAACTGCATGAGCAGAAAGGCAGTCTCAACGTTTAGTCATTAATTGTAATTATCTTTTTTAATTTTCAATAATAGTACCAATGAACCTCATAGGTCCATTCACTATCTGAATTCCTTCAACACAGGATAAAATCCTATTTCTCAACTTATTTACATGTTGAAAGTTGGTAAGGCCATTTCCACTTGCTGACAAGCATAAACTAGTCTCTTGATCCTGTCTTTGTCCTCAAAATTATCAAATATCATACTCAATTGAGCCCTTCCTTCTTCCTGGTAATTATGAGACATGGTTTTCATCACTTGCACTTTTAGACAAGCAGACATAAATTTATATGTCATCTCATGCTTTTAACCCTCTCTGTGTGTTCCAAGTCATATTCTAAATTAACCCTTTCTTTTTATTTTTACCAGTGTCACATAGCATCACAATTGTACTGATGGCAATACAGCCACACCAAAAGTTTCTTGCAACAAAGAAGAGACAAAGAATCCTGCATCTGCTGCCTCACTTAATGCCAAAGTTTCAGATACTAATGGATTCTTTGTTACTTTGTCCAACTTTTTAGATTGCCAGCTAATTAATGCTACTTTCTTGTTCTCATCTTGAATAAAAACAACAATACCACCCTGGGAAGACACATCTTCCAGGCTAGCATATGTATCATCTGAATATGCTAAGACTGATTTTTTTTAGTATCATCCAAATTAAGAAATTTTAGTGCAATTTTCTTAGCTTTCAATTTAGACAGTGCTTTGTTTGCCTCTTGTTACATTTTCACAGTTGGATGCTTTCTTGTATTGCTTATAACCCATGTTTCATAGATTATATCTGGTCTTGTTTGTGAAGCAACCCACATCATTTGTCCACTTAAGCGTTTCAAATAAGTTTTCTCTTCTGCAGTCAATTCATCTATCTTCCTTGTGGTCAGACTTTTAGGTATGCTAATTGGTGTTATTATGGAAATATACAATTTTTGTTTTCTTTGCACTCCTTCTGTAGTTTGCACAACTTCCAATCCTAGATATTTAAATGATCCATTTTCATGCATGCTGACCTTAAATATTCTCTTTAGTTTTTCTATGATCTGTTCCTGGAAAAAAAACCCCATTATCACAGAAGTTAAAATCATCCACATCACTAACCAAAATTTCTGCAAGTGATCCACTTTTACACCACTGTAAAAGCACTTCTTTAACTCTCTTGTACCAAAGATCTGGGTGCATCATTCAATTTGTAGATGCATCTTTTAAGACACCAGGTGGGTGTAGAAATACTTCTCTTTCCAAAGAATCCCCCATGTAGAAATACTATTGTTATATCAATAGATATAACATCAGGACATCAAGGCTGCTGTCAAAAATACCAAGCGTAGACACGCTCTACTACAGGTGGGAGAATCTTTTCTAAGATTGTTAGTGCCCCTTTTGAATCACAGGCCACTAATCTTGCCTTGGATTTCTTTTTACCATCCTTATATTTTCAGACTGATAGGAATAAAGTGTCACTGCCGACACTTGAGTTTGAATATAGATCACCATTGAGCAAACACAGGTGATATCATTATTGAATTAAGTAGACCACATAGAGGAAATGCATATATATATATATATATATATATGAAAGGTAGCGTGACATCTAACTGATCGCATTTCTCATCTATCCCATATTACTATACAAATCACTATACTATTTTTATATTCAAGTCGTTATACAGATTGAGTAAGTATCATCGAGCAAGTACTATTAGTGCGAGTATTGTTTGAAGGCATCTGACACCAGCATCGTTCAATGGCGTACTATAGTGGTATCTGCAATTACAAACCTCTACTACAATGAGCATTACGAAAATGACAAGTATACGTTGGCATCACAAAGTGGCAACGAGTGTTCGTTGACATCACAAAACGGATATTATCCAGCCAGAAGATAGTGTAGTCTGTTTTTCAAAAGGAACGACTTTAAATATATTATCATCAATCAAGTTATTCAGTTCTCTCACTCTCTCTCTCTCTCCTTAGCATCCACAACATTCTAGGACATTTCTTAATCCACGGTTAACAGTACAGCATTTTTTGGATAAGGTAGTTCATTCCAATTGTCAATATGATCCCAATTAACACATCTTGGTTCTTCACCAACCCCACCTCCACATGAACATTCACCCATTCCTTATATTTTCCAGTTTGTTTAGGCTGTATGCTTAATACTTTGGCTTGCCTCTATACCTCTTCATTCGTCATCCTGTAATAAAAGAATTTCTTTTTGGTTTTATGCTATTACTTATATCCAGAGGCGAGTTTTTGCATCTACCATCAGACATATTTTCCTTCTGGGAGTCAGTTTCATTTGGCATAAAATATTCATGTGTATCATCCTCCTCATCTACATCAATAATATTTGTAGGTAGTTCTTCATCTCTAGTCCTACATTCGGATCTCTTTTCGGTCTGGTACATATTACTACAATCGTTTACTTTCATTAATTGACATGGATGAACATTATAGTAAGCTCCTCCATTGTGTACTAATACAGTTTGTTCTTTCCAAAGTACAAATGAAGGGTCTTTCTGATATAATGGAATATGCATACACCCAAGTTCCCCCTCACTGGAATATGATTGGCTGGTGTCCATCATAAATACAGACAGACATGTAAGTATGACAGAGTTTAAGTCTATGACGACGCCCATTGGACTAGGCTATTGGCTATCCTATTGGTCTACACCTATTACCTGCGACTACGACAAGTACCAGTCGATTACTGCTACCATGTACTACTTGGTTACAGTAGCCAAAAACACTTAGCTACTTCGATCAAATATATCCCATTCCGGAACATATCACTTTCTAACCTTTAAAAATTTTTCTGCAATACTAAACATTATCATCATTATCATACACTACATCTAAATAAGTGCATACTTTATGTATGAGTGTCTCCTGATATTTTAACTTGACTCTGTTGCAATATAATTTTTGTCTGGCACTGTGTAAAGATTCTATGTTCTGACATATAATATCACTAGAAGAACACTCCATAACAATGGAATTTCATTATTCATTACACAACCCTTTTTTCTGCCAATAACTACCAGAAATTTTACTTGCCTAGTTGCAGTAATCTCAGCTCTATCTCCAAACTTGAATGTTGCCTCAGTTGAAAAATATTCAACTAAGTATTTGTCTTAATCAGACAAAGCATCAATAAAAACGTCCAGCTATGTTTTATCAGTGACAGTTTTCATATATGCACTGTCCAATATGTCCATTTCGAAAGGATATTTAATTAACCTGGAAGCATGAAGTTCTGTGCTATATAGTGCTATGTGAATCTCTTTTATGTTTCTTGTATTTTCTCAACACGGTTTACAATATCTTGAGAAGTGTTTTGTAGAATCCCAATAAAGAATCTCGATTTTTCCATCCTTGCCGATTAGATTGGAACCTGTATTAGCTTCATAAATTCTACTGGGAAATTTTCAACTGCCTCTATAATTTACTCATCCATGCAAACCTCTTGTTTAAAATATATTCTTGTTTTCAGTTACAAGAACTGGTTCAAATTTGACACATGGTGCTCCTATCTGATCATTAGTTATGGTAGGATACCCCAAAAATCTTTTTTATTGTGCATTTCAAATTTTTATATGTGATAGCCCCACACACAGCACGAGCTAGTCTGTCATTTTTGTCAGACACATTTACTGCAGTAAATAGAAAAAAAAGGCACATACACTCTCCATTAATTCAACTCTAAAATTACCCAGTTTGTGTTAAAGGTATTCAAAATTGAGTCAAAAAATCTGTTATACTTATGCTGGAAGGGCGCAAGTAATTATAAAATTCCTTAAATAAGCCCAGGTATTTTCATCTTTTAAAATCAATGTGTCCAATTTAGTCTTATTTTCTTGACTCCATTTTCCCGAGATTGCAAGTCCCTAACACAATCTCTTGTTTGTCCAGTCAAACTGAAAAAAAAACTGCTGGACTTTGTTTACATTTATTTAAATCCGTGTACATCTGCGATATTGCTAAATCGTTTTTCCATTCAACATAATTCTCTTCGCTTGTCAACATTGGAAGCAATTTTAAAGCCTCTTGAGACGTAGTATAAGTGGCAATGTGTATAACACAAAACAAAATAAAGTTACTCAGACTGCTACCATTTGTTAACTTTCTTAGGTGATAAACATTAAACAACCTAAGCACTTGTTCTCACTGAAGATTTCCTGTTATAGAAATAGTTCAAGGGAGATAAACTGAAACCTGTACCACTGTCTTCAGTTTTTCTCATTTTTCTCCTACCAGTAGCATGTTGGCAGAAAAAGAAGTACCTTCCTCTTCCTTCCTTCACACCACATCATTATAAATAAAAAAAAAAAAAAAAAAGCATGAAATGGGTTCCCAACTTCAACAAAAAAAATGACCAATCAGTGTAAATGATGAGTTTTTTTTTGTTTTGTTTTGTTTTTAAATGCTCACCTTAGTCTTCAGCTTTGAAATGTGTTTTGGTGGCACGACACTGGTTGATGTAACCTCCCTAGTTTCTATATCATCTTCCTCTTCCTCCTCTTCATCATCATCCTCTTCTTCCTCCTCCTCTTCTTCTTCCTCCTCCTCCTCTTCTTCTTCCTCTTCTTCTTCTCCCTCCGCTGCTTCCTCTTCTTCTTCACCCTCTTCCGCTTCCTCTTCTTCTGAATTGTTTTCTACTTCACTCTCAGCGCCATTGCTGCTCATATCATCCTGTTCTTCCAGGAACTGACGATGGATCTTCAGTTCCTCACAGGCCTTTATGAACCCTGCAAAAGAACAGGCAAACAATTGTGTGTAAAACAAAAGAGAAACACAATGAAAAGTATAAGCCAGAAATACCAAAAATCAAACAAGTAAAACAATTTAAATATCCGGGAAGTGTTTTAACAGAGGACAGAATGTGTGACACTGAAATCTGAAGGTACATGGAAATAGTGAAAGATGCCTTCCAAAAGTTAAACAAAGCATTAAGAAATAGGAAATTATCCTTAGAAACAAAGAAAAGAGTACTGAGCTGTTAAGTAATATCAGTCCTCCTATATGGCAACAAATGCTGAACAATCTCCTCACAGATGAAAAAGAGACTTGAAGCAACAGAAATATGGTTCTACAGAAGGATGCTGAGAAAACCATGGACCAAATATGTGAACAACAACAAAGTTTTAGTGAAAATAGAAACAAAAAGGACACTTAAACTTAATATCAAGAAGAAACAGTTGAAATTTCTAGGGCACATAATGAGGAAAGAGAGCTTGGAAAATTTGATACTGACAGGACAGATTGAATTCAAGAGGGACAGAGGAAAACAATGCATAACCTACCTAGCAAGATTGAGTAAATGGTTGGCAGAATAAGGTTTAGGAGAAATAACAAAAAGACAAAATTTATTAAAAGCTACAAAAATACAGGGAATTGTGGAAAGCTATGATCACCTATGTCCTGAAGAGATATTGCCCAGAAGAATACAACCTTTAATGTCTTGCAAGAATCAGAAATAAATTATTATTGAGATTGATTATTTCTTACTACCATATATACTCATGAATAAGCCTACGTTATTTATAGTGTGAACCCTGAATTTTTTGTAAAAAAAAAGCAAAAAACAATTTTTTTCATACAGCTTGTATATAATGTGACACCCAGCTTCTGAGCAATACTATTAGGCCTATAGTCATCAAATATTACAGTACTGGACATCATAATAAATGGTCTTCATTCTTTTTTGTTCAAAGCTATCTCAAAATGATGAGAAAAACCGCTTACCGAAAAATATCTGGGGTAATTTGCTTTTTAAACCCCGTGCTGAGTATCTAATAAAAATTTGTTGAATATTTATATTTAGGTGTAAATTTACATGCTTAACTAAAAAATAATGAAGAAATTTTGATAAAATCTACCATTTTGGTATTATCAACAATAAAAGTTCAGTCTCATCCACATTACAGCACAGCAGCCATTACTGGCATTGTTTGTACACATTCGCTGCCGATTAGATTTGCAAGGGAAGATTATCTTGTTAATGGCCTTTTTACTACTCTTACTTGTCTCTATTACTGTACAACTGAAGACTCATTGCACACGCAATCATCAAGACAAGTGAATGTTAAATCCACAACAAATATATGCAAACAATGCCAGAAATTGCTGCTGTGACATGAATGAGTTCGAACTTCTACTGTCGATAACTCCAAAATGGTAGATTTTATCAATATTTCTTTGTTATTTTCGAATTAAACATGTACAGTTACACCTAAATATAACTACATGGCAATTTTTATTAGACACTTAGCATGGGGCTTAAAAAGCAAATTACCCAATATCTGATACAAAGATTTAGATGTTGTACTTTCGTTTTTGTTTATTCCTGACTATGATAGTTCCTTTACCCTAGGCCTGCCTTCTAAGTAGGTGAAGTTTCTTCCCTGTTGTTGCTATATGAAGAGCAAAACCCCATCCACTATGCATATAACTTAAAATCAACAAATACCTTATATAAATAAAGAACTTTCGGCACCTCAGTGTGGTGTAATGGTTAAAAAGCTTGTCTCACTAAAACAGTCACAACTGAATAGTGAGTTTGCTCCTCACTGGATACCCTATACATTCGGCCTTGTGCCACATCTAAGCTACACTTAGAAAATCAATATTAACGAAGAACTAATAGATTTTTTTTTCTATCTCAAATTTGCATTCATCTTTATTCTACAAATATTTACATTGCTAAGGTATTGCCTTTCCAATGACAACTTTTTTGTCAGGATTACCGGTTCATAATACAGTACTGGTACATAGTGCTAATGCAGATTACCTCTATGTTTAAATTTAACCACAGTTACCATGAGAACATAAGCCTACCAGGTAAGTTAGTCACCGAAAATACATGAATTTTATCCACACCAAAAAAGAAAAAAAAAAAAAAAAAATGCCCCCACCCCACCACTTATCTTTAGTGTTTTAAAAAAAAAAAAAAAAAAAATTCACAAAAACTTGTCGTATAATAAAGTATATACAGTATATACAACACAATGGATAGATCTATAGGTAGTTAAATGTAAAAACAAAGTTAGTTCGTTGGGAAAGGAAGGTAGGTAAACATTATGGCCATGGTATGAAAACTAGCTGAACATATGGAAATTTCAAGGGGATTTTATTTAATAAGCTAAATTCTTCTACATTTGACAGGAAAACCAACACAAGTTAAACTATGTTTCATCTTATTATAATTCTACATGTCCCTCCCTTAGTTAACATGACCGTTACACTCTGCCAATACCTCAAATAGTAGACTATTCCATTTTGATCAGGTGGAAAGACAGAGATGCTACTTGCTTTCAGCAAGAAAATAAAAGAAAAAGAATGAAAAGAAACAAGTGTTTAATGGCTTGAAATGGAATTGTCCATTTCAAATCTTTTCATTTGTACCCTCTTACTTCTTAAAAAATGGCCAGTATTCATATTTATAATTGTTATTGCTATATTTTTTAAAGTTGTTAAGCATTTAATATTTAATGATGTAATTGAGGAATTTCTTCAGATATTTTATTGTCATAGAACTAAGGTATAAAAAAAAGTTAGAAATTAATGATTTCACCAAGCAAATATCTTAAACAATACAAATTAGACCAAAAGTAAAATTAAACAAAGTAAATAAATACAATCTTGATGGAGACAGAGATTAGAACACTATAGTTTGTCAGGATATAAGTAATAAAATTGAACAATAGATTTTCTAATCAAGATCTAGGTAAAATGTCAAATCTCCAAAAGCAACAATCTAAAACAATCAAGTAAATATGGAGGTTCTTTCAGGTGATATTTTGGAATTAGGTTGAGACTTTAAAAAAAATTCCCAGGAATCAGGTCATCAGAACAATAGGAAAGATTTTAAATAACACAAAAGGCTGACAAATGGAATGGATTTGGGGGTGGGGGGTTATGTCAAAAGTCAGGGATCAGAGAGGAATTCTCTGGGCTACAATAATTTATTGCCTTTGTCTAGATTTCCAGTACAAAAGCAGAAATTTTTGTTGAGTTAAGAGAGGGAGAGAAACAACAAGTAGTCTCCTTACCGAGTTTGTATAAATGGATGACAGAACAAGACTAAGTCAGATAGTAAAGGGTCAGCTGTAGAAAGAATATTGTTTGACCGAGCACTAGGATTTTCATATATACAGATCACTATCTCCCCATTGTACTATGTCAATATAAATACAACAACAGATATAACTTCTGAATATCCAAATACCTACAGATTTTAAGTAAAAAATTAAATTGATTTTTAACATTCCTAGCTCTACCAATTCAGACAATGCCATATATAGGTGAACCATTCCTCTACTCCTTTGTATTATACTGGTAAGAAAGAATTTTCATTCAAACAGCCTCTTTCCAAGAGTTTACTTTATGGAACAAACTCCTGAATGTTTCCCCTGAACACAACAATCTTAACCTGTTCAAGCCTACGGTCAACTATTATGTATCCTCAAAATCTGCACTTACCAGTCCTACATTCATACAACCTTGAGTGGCTCCTTGCATTGTATTGGGTGAACATTTAAAAAAAGGTAGATGGCCCTTTCCTTTTGCCTGCTTTAGCAATTTCTCCTGGATTATATTGCTCAGTTTACCTAGGTTCCAACAAAGTCAATATTCCCAAAGGTGTATCTTTGGAAAATAGTACTACCTAAGGTAAGCAACTGAAATTGTGACCATGTCTAAATATATCTGAGACAGCAACACTCGTCTTTTAGATCAGTGGGCCCCAACCTTTATGTGCTGTAGACCAGCGTCATGCAGGACAATTTTTCCACAGATTATGGGTTGGTATCTGTCATACTCATAACAAAACACGATAAACGAGACCGTGATAGTCAATAAAATAGAGGGAAACAAGTTTTCATTCTTTCTGTGCTGCATGGTACCAAGTGATCCATAGTCCAACACCGGTCTGCTTGCTACCTGGTGGTTGCTAACCACTAATTTAGATAACTTTGCTACATAATGCTATGTCACTTCATGACATAACCAATCACAACTCTCCACAGCCTTTACTCTCGTATCTATGAACTGCTATGAATTCTTGAAAAAGAGAATGGTTTCCTACTGCCTTCTCCATGGTTTTGAATTCAGAGTATCCTTTCCCCTAGAGTGGCAAACAGCCAAGGCTAAAAAGCACAATCTATATTGCTTTACTATAACAGTTGAAAAATACAAGTCTGGCTCATTAATCTACATGACAATTATAACAATACTTTAGTCATTTCCAATGATCCAAATTGTTCTACAATGTGCTCAAAGTTTGTTTTTTGTCTTTCCTTTCTCTAATCAGTAGAACAAGATCAATCTACCTTGAGTAATGTATTTTTATTTAATCTTGTGTCATCAACTCCTAAGAGGTAGCTTCCCCAATCACTACAATGTTAACTGTTATCTTCCCTAAATATCCCCATAAACTGTGCCTCTTACTCTGTAAACCTCTACATCAAGTGACTCTTTACAAGCTGAAAATTATTATAATAAAATAAATAAGAAAAAGAAAGTGATTTAAGAATCTGGTCATCAAAGTGCTTTTCACCTATGGTAAAGACAGATTATACATTTGAAGAAAATTATTTTTTTTCATTATTTGAGAAGGGCTTTTCCAACTTTAATGGAAACTCTTCAAATAACACTATCTGCCAGGCATTAGTTTTGACAAAAACTAAAAGAAAATTTCAAATCACTTACCTCGTGTCCGTTTTAAGGTTACAGACTTTATGTTTACAGTGATAGGTTTTATATATTCAACAGGTATCACAGCTCTGAAAGAATTAAAAATATATCAAAGTAAGCACACAAAAAAAAACATTCAACTTGAGACATTATATGGAATTCTTATACACAATCAATTGCTAAAGAACAAAGAAAGAAAGAAAAAGAACGAAAGGAAAGAAAAGAAAAAGAACGAACGAAAAGAAAAAGAACGAAAGAAAAGAACAAACGGAAAGAAAAAGAACAAACGGAAAGAAAAAGAACAAACGGAAAGAAAAAGAACAAACGGAAAGAAAAAGAACAAACGGAAAGAAAAAGAACAAACGAAAAGAAAAAGAACAAACGAAAAGAAAGAAAGAACGAAAAGAAAGACAAAAGAAAAGACAAGAACGAACGAAAAGAAAAGAACGAGAAAAGACAAGAACGAACGAAAAGACAAGAACGAACGAAAAGACAAGAACGAACGAAAAGACAAGAAAACCGAAAGAAAGACAAGAACGAAAGAAAAGAAAAGAAAAAAAAGACGAACGAAAGAAATGAAAAGACAAGAAAGACCGAAAAAAATGAAAAAAGACAAGAAAGACCGAAAAGAAATGAAAAAGACAAGAAAGACCGAAAAAAAATGAAAAAGACAAGAAACCGAAAGAAATGAAAAAAAGACAAGAACGACCGAAAGAAATGAAAAAGACAAATGAAAAAAAGACAAAACGACCGAAATGAAAAGAAGACAAGAAAGACCGAAATGAAAAAGACAAGAAAACGAAAGAAATGAAAAAGAAAAGAAAGACAAGAAAGAAATGAAAAAAAACAAGAAAGACCGAAAGAAATGAAAAAAAAGACAAGAAAGACCGAAATGAAAAAGACAAAACGACCGAAAAAATGAAAAAGACAAGACCGAAAGAAATGAAAAAGACAAGAAAGACCGAAAAGAAATGAAAAGACAAGAAAGACCGAAAAGAAATGAAAAGACAAGAAACGACCGAAAGAAATGAAAAAAAGACAAAACGACGAAAAATGAAAAGAAAAACGAATGAAAAATGAAAAAAAAGACAAAAGAAATGAAAAAGACAAGAAAGACCGAAAGAAATGAAAAGACAAGAAAGAAAAAGAAAGAATGAAAAAAATGAAAAAGACAAGAAAGACCGAAAGAAATGAAAAAGACAAGAAAGACCGAAAGAAATGAAAAAGACAAGAAAGACCGAAAGAAATGAAAAAGAAGAACAAGAAAGACAAAACGAAAAGAAAAAAAAAAACGACAAAGAAATGAAAAACAAGAAAGAAAAGAAATGAAAAAAGACAAGAACGACCGAAAGAAATGAAAAAGACAAGAACGACCGAAAGAAATGAAAAAGACAAGAACGACCGAAAGAAATGAAAAAGACAAGAACGACCGAAAGAAATGAAAAAGACAAGAACGACCGAAAGAAATGAAAAAGACAAGAACGACCGAAAGAAATGAAAAAAGACAAGAAAGACCGAAAGAAATGAAAAAAAAGACAAGAAAGACCGAAAATGAAAAGACAAAAAGACAAGAAAGACCGAAAGAAATGAAAAAGACAAGAAAGACCGAAAGAAATGAAAAAGACAAGAAAGACCGAAAGAAATGAAAAAGACAAGAAAGACCGAAAGAAATGAAAAAGACAAGAAAGACCGAAAGAAATGAAAAAGACAAGAAAGAACGAAAGAAAAGAACGACAAGAAAGAACGAAAGAAAAGAACGACAAGAAAGACCGACAAGAAAGACCGACAAGAAAGAACAAAGAACGAAAATGAAAGAACAAGAGAACGAAAGAAAGGAAAAAAGAAAGAAAAAACAGTCAGCTCATTATATCGTTCAATAAAATATCTGATGACTTCTGCCATTTTTTATTTTTACAAGAGTCAGATCAGGCCAAAAATGAAGTATTGTTGCTATATTTGGACTGGAACTTTTCAATTCTCACTTCCCGGCCTTGAGAGTCCAAAATCATTTACATAAGCTTGTGGGGGATTATTTACTTTCCACAGACTTTGCAAGCCTGTCAATACTTTATCCATTTCTATGGCAAATGTTCAGAAGAGCTCCACTCTGTTCAAACCTTTATTACCAGAACATGCCTCACTATTTCCACCAGGTCTTATCATCCATGTTTCCTCTGTGTTTCAAATGTAAGAAGACAACCTCCCCACCTGACAGAACTGCCATTTTGTGGAACAGAAATCTGTATGGATGCTTGCCTGAATTCTTTCATCTTGACCTTTTCAAGATAAGGGTCAATTGTTATCTATTCTCCTCATCCTCTACTTACTACCACTTCTTCAACTCATATCACAAACTTTACTCATCATTACTATTTTGAGTGAAACCCTTTACCTTGAGTGGCTCTCGAGTCTTGTTCGGCAATATTTAGTAAAAAAAAAAATCATAGTACTTCCAATATTAAGTGTAAAAAGGAAGCAAGCAAACTAACCTTTGGTGATATCCTCCAAAGAAGCGTACATCATATTTCTCATCTTCTGAAATTCTGATTACTTTTGCCGGCCAGTAACTGAAGCCTTTCAATTTGGCATAAACCAGTTTGTGTGGTGGATTCTGCAAGGATAACAAAGTAAACATTTAAAAAAAAAAAAAACTATATTAGCATTGTAAGGATCTACAGCATAGCAACACACTAGTAACATATCTGACTACAATCTCAACCTAATAAATGACTACCAGAGAAAAAAACTCACTAAGAAAATCCATTGAAAGTGCACTGAATATTCTATGGTCAACCTCAGACTTGGCTTATATCAAATACTACCAATCATTACAAGAGTAATAGTAACACAATGCAGTATATGAACCAATAAAAAAAATAAAGATCTAATTAGAATGAGCTAATTTCAAATTCAGTAGATGTTAATGGTTTCAATTCTAGACATATCTTTTTATATTTATTACAACTTTATTAAAATTCCAAATCTGATACACAAGTTTGTCTCATTTTCACCTTAAAATCCTTGCTTTTCCACATTATTGCCACAATATTATTTTTAACAATTTTTTGGTAGATATTAACACTTTTATTCAGTGGAAATACTTTGTATTCTTGACTATGTTAATCTCAGAAGTTAACTAGAAAATTTATGATGTATGAAGGTGCGATAGGTAAATTGTCGCCATTTTACATTTTTAATTTCACACATGCACGTCATTTGCTTTTGTCGTCTGCACAGTAGTGTCAGTTGCGCACGTCTGTGAGAAAAAGAGCACCATGATGCAATTAATGCCACCAGAAATTTGGAAATGGTATGCTGCACTACTTGGCGTTCGTGCCAATCTGAGGACAGTGCAAAGGATTCAAAAGAGTTGGACGAGTCTAATGGTGATTATGATGGTACGGCAGTTCAGAAAGCTCACTCTCATCATTTGATAAGACATCCCGAAATTGTTGATGAGATCCAGGCTATGATTGACAACGATTCTTCCAAGTCAAACAGGCCCATAGCCAGGGACACAGGAGTGTTTGCATGGTAATTATGAAGGTACGTCAGTTCAGAAAACTCACTCTCATTGTTTTGATAAGAACTCCCAAATTTGTTAGTGAGATCCAGGCCATGATTGACGATGATTCCTTCAAGTCAATCAGGCCTATAGCCAGGGACACAGGATTGTCTACATTTCTTATCAGGCAGGTAGTGCATGAAGACATTCGGTATTTCTCATACAAGATGATACAGGGCAAATTTTTATCCTAAACCATGAAGAACAAGTGGAAAGACTGCACTACGAAGGTTTTTTAAGAAACTCAAGCACCCCATCCAACCAAACAGGCTTTAGTTTTTCTCAGATGAGAAAAATTTCTGCCATGTTAAGATGATGAAAACACAGTACAACCATTGGCTTGCTGTATCCTCAATGGATGTACTGAGAGATATGAAAACCAAATATCCAGGTAACATCATTTTTGGAGTGATCACTAGTGATGGTGACATTATGCCTCCGTTCATCTTCCCATAGGGCCTCAGATTCAACACAGAGGCCTACATCAAGTGCCTTGATGAGGTTGTGCTGCTCTAAGTCAAGAGTGTACGTGCTAGAAGACCCTATGTCTGACAACAGGACTCTGCACCATGCCACACAAGCAAGAGAATCCAGTCATGACTGTCAGACAGACCACAACACTCTTTAAACCTGGTCATCTCACTCTCCAAACTGTAACCCCCTTTATGATTATGTGTTGAGTGAGAGACCAACAAAACTCCTTGTAACATAGATGAACAAGGATTATAGCAACATTCACTAACTTAAACAAAGAGACCGTCCAGAAAAGTTGCAGAAGATTCCAAAGTCATCTAGAGGCCGTGGTTTAAGCCAATAGTGATTTTTATTTATTTTTTAGAATTTCAAGATATTTTCATGTAATTTTTGGTAAATATATCTGTTAAAATGAGATGTCAGTGTTATTTTCATTTTTGCATAATTTAGATGACTATTTATCCATTGCACCCTGTACCAATTTCAAATTAAGGAAACAACAAATTCTAGTAACAAAGCATCATTTTACAGAACCTTCACTATAAATTTCCAGTTTATTGTAAATTGTGAGTTCATCTTGAGACACAAAACACCCAAAGCAAAAATCTTTCCCATTTTTTATTACCATATATACTTGAGTATAGTGAGAGTTTTTATGATTAGGTGTCGCACTCTACACAGGTAATTTTTTTTTTTTTTTGAAGAGGTTAAAAACCATGCATTTTCAGTGACCAGTTGCACTATACACAGGTTAATTTGTTTTTGGAGGGGTTAAAATTCATGAGTTGCACTATACATGAAGTCTGCTTAGACACAAGTATATATAAATGCAGCAAGTCTTCACAACAATATTCTAGATTTCTATTCACATACTTATTAAAGTCAAAAAGTACATAAAATGACTACCATAGAACAGTTTTAATCTTTTGTATTAGGTTGGTGCAAAAATAATGATGTAATAATGTCGTTTTTTTTACGTATTTTTTAACGTCAAAAAACGACATTATTACGTCATTATTTTTGCACCAACCTAACAATTTTAACTAGGAAAGTAAACCTGGCTTTCACAGCTTGACTGACAGTCCCTCTAGGAGAAAAACTACTCTAAATTCAAAACCCTTGTTGTGGCAATTCACACATTAACAGAAGCTTTGAACCGCTGAAAGGATATTGTATTTTAAAAACATGTCTTACAAGTATTTACATTGTACAGATTGTTGTTCTCATCTTTATTGTTATATTCACAACTTTTTAGCTGTTGTACACTCTGGGCTTCTTCAGGTGAAATATGTTGGAACTTTGAACCAAACCCTTTATTTAGCCTATGGGGGTAGACTGTTCTAATTCCACATACCATGGCTTTGAATATCTCACCCCCAAGATATCCAGAAAAGGCATGGTACATAAATGGTCGGAGCATAGAACAAACAAAACATTGTATATACGGCAATTGTTGTGATGTGGGGTCTGGCAAGACAACACTTAACTCAATGGAGTCAGTAGTGATAGCAATATTCAATACTCAGCTAGACAAGGGACACCTCAGCGTGGTGTAATAGTTAGCAAGCTTGTCTTGTTAGATCAGTTACTACTGAAAAGTGAGTTTGAACCACACTGGGTGCCCCATTCTTTCGGCCTTGTGCCACATCTAAGCGATGCTTGGAAAATCACTACCCAGCTAGACAAGTCACTGCAACAGTATTAGCTTCCTAGACAATTACCCAGGACATAACATGAATGGATTAGTCCATTCATTACAGTAAGGAGGGTAACTGGCTCTTACCACAACAGCAATAAATATGAGGACAATAGTCCAAACATTGTAAATAGTGTAAATAGTTACAATACCTCACTCATCTCAGAAATATAGACATGTCTTACAAGTTTTTATTTTTATTTTTTTTTTTTTTATAGTTGATGAATATTTTTCATACTGATAAAAATTTCTTCCTTGTCTTTTCTATCAGGGAAAGATTTTAATCCTACTAAACTTACTTATGTATAAATTGACTATAGATATTCACCATAATCTAACAATTAACAAACCACTTTATTGTATAAAATAACGTATCACAAAGCTCTCACTAAAAATGTCTTTATGTTGTAGGATCGGCAAGTATAAAGTCAAAAGGTAAAAATCTTTAACATTTATTATTAAACCACTTAACAACAAAACACAGCAAGCCACAGCAGAAATATTCAAAATTTTTATTCAAGTAATAAAGGATATAAAATTGTCGTATGATGTCTTCATGTTTAAAAGTTAAGAGTTACGCCTAGTCCATCAAATCAGACACAGATCTCAAATCAACCAATGCTTTTATCTATTGGGCCATGTCTCCGTGGATAAAAACAATAGTAGATTGATCCAAAAAGTTACTTGACCCAAAGAGTTGTAAGTTCAGAGAGAACAAAAAGTTGGAGAGTCGAGTTATCAAGCGGAATTAAGTAAAAATAGATATCCAAAAGCATATGGAATTAGAACAATCTAACCCTATGGAATAAATAAAGTATTTTGTTTGAAATTCCAACAAATATCACCTGAAAAAGGCCAGAGTATATAATGACCAAAACATTGATAATGTGGCAATAAATATGAGGACAACAGTCCGAACAATGTAAATAGTGTAAATATTGAAAATTAAGAACATTACTCACACAAGGTCGACAGAACCAGTTGGAGGGTTTGGAATTTGACATAAAGTAACAGTTCCAACACTGGCGGATCTCATCAATCTAAAAAAAAATTAAAAAAATGAAAGGTTGTAACAAAATCATGGTGAGAGATTAACATGTGCTATGACTTGTCTAAGATTTAATAAGCAGGTGTATCCCTTATATTTGATCATTTTCTTTTCCTATCAAAAAATTTGGAGACTAAACCGAGCAAAAAAAGTCCAGCTTAAATCTAAATACTGTTTGCTCATATTTGGTAATAAATTACAATAATATGTCTCTAAGCACAAACAAATAAGAATATATACTGAGAAATATTTTGTATGATACATTGAGTCTCCAACATTGATCAGGACACCCACGTAGTAAAGTGGACAGTAAATGATTTTATCTGACCCTAAAGTGAGCAAACACTTACTGTTCACAAATAAAGAAAAAGTAAATAGAAATAAATGAAAACTTTTGGGAACAAGTGCCACATCAGCTGGAAGGTAGGGAATTCTAGTCATGGGCTTATATAGGCAGATTCAAAATTAGAATAAGTACAGGTGACAAGCCACACATCATCACAAAGTAGAAATGGGCAGGGAGAGGAACAGAAAGGAACTGGCAGTTAGAGTGACAAAATAAAAATAGCTTGAGGAAGAGAGATGCAGAATTGGAGTTCTCGTTGACTAAAGTGATTGATTCATTTTCTACAGTTTATCCATATTTTGCAGGTTTTTTAAAGCCAGAAAATATTTTTAGATTGTAAGAATTTTGTTTTGGTGGATGATAATAATGGTTTAGTAATACAAGTCTTATTAATTAGATTGGAGATGGGGGGGGGCAGTGAATTCATACCTTTCCTAAGGGTATTTTTGCACATAAGTGAATATAATGAACCAAACAAGAATTGCACAGTACTAGATTGGTAACAAGGTCTCATTAATCTACAGGTGAATTGATTAGATGTAACCATAAGTTCAATACTAACAGATTTTCTCGCTTGTGAAACTCTTCCACTTCCATACTTTCTGGCCAACTTTGATCTTCAAAAATTTAAATGCAATGTCAATCATTATCTACTATCTTGATTATTGTTCTCACTCCCTAATAATGTTTCCATTTTCTAATTCCTTCATACACAGTAACTTCTTGTGTCTTTACAGCCTTGCTTGGAGTAAATTTAATTAAAAAATAAAAAATTGGAACTGTTCTCTGATTAACAATTCCACACCATTATCTATTACCCCACCTGCACATCCAAGCTTACAGCACCTGGTATTCCCTAGTGGCCACCTATCTTGCTACTGACCAGGCTCATTGTTACTTAACTGATCATATGATAACTGGTGTTTTAACATGATGTGGCTGTAAACCCAGAGCAAATGGAAGATGATCTCATCCATCAGTCTGTTGTGAGGGGACAGAAGTAGCAGTGAAGATGTTCCAAGTGTTACTTACTTATCCTCTAGACCAGGGGTTCTCAACAGGGGTGAAATTCACCTCCGGGGGTGGGTGGGGTTTTTAATTTTGGATTTTCAGGGGTAAACTGTGACCACTGTACGTTTAGATGGAGGCAATTATAGAATTTGGCCTGTCTGGTCTGTCACCTTCAAAAGGAGTGGGGATGGCATTCTAACAAATGGTGAAAGGGGTGCATGGGGGTCAAACAAGGTTGAGAACTCCTGCTCTAGACCATGCCAGGCAAATCCATGAATCTTGCTGTGGCAATAAATATCACCCGCACTCCAACCCCATTTCTTTGTGAAGTTACACCTTTTCCAGATTTTATTCACCCCTACAGAAATGACAACTGAAACACAACATGGGGTGATTTGTCCAGTCAGTGAAAAACAGACAAGAACTACAGATATATATTCATACTTGTATGAAATTCTGGGTACACAGATTAAACTGATCAGATTTTTTTGCTCAAAAGAGATAAGTTTTATGGTAAATAAAAAAAAAATGGTGGCTGTATAGAACAGGATTTTTCACTCCTAACATTCTGGATAATGACATGCAATAAAATTACAAGTTCTATAACTTGATCTAAGCGTAACCTAGGATGGTGTCTTCTTTTATAAAACTCACTTTGGACAGGTAATTATAAAATCTTATGTGATATGAAAGAAAGAAATACTTACATCATATTTACAGTCTTTTATCATAATTGTTGCCAATTCTGTCATCCCATGTTCCTCTGGAAAAACAAATTGAAAAACTAGAGAAATAGATCACTAATAACCATGTTTCACAATATGCAAAGTCCCAGAATTTCTAAAGTTCAAATAGTAATAAGATGTATAAAAGTGCATAATGAATATGATCTTTGCTAAAAAAAAAAGAAAAAAAAAACTGACTTCAAAACATTACTATTCTTCTGTAGTGAATTCATCAAAAAGTTATATGCTTTAGTTATTCTATGATGCAAGTATGACTCCCTAAGGAGTAACATTATACTTAGTGTTGATTCCCATCGCAGTAGGAATGACAATATTCAGTCACCCCCCCACGAGGGCGTCATGTGGCACAAGGCCTTTTTAACATTGGCTCTCCAAGCCCGTGGGCTCGGCCAAAAATATGCCCATTGAACCCGTATAAACAGGTTCAGGGTCGGTTTACCTCCCCAAAAGAGAATCTGCCCTTCGGCATAGCCTCTTTTGGGTTCCTCCCCACCCAAAGGCAGAGAGTTCAACCGATCAGCCAGCCGACACAGTAGGAATGACTGAAAAACACTTGCCCCTCTCCAATTTATAGGCAGAAGCACACAAATGCATGCTGGGATATTTCCTTAGCCAATAAAATAGGCCACTTGTTGGTTTCATCTGACTCAATCCTGGTCTGTCTTGTCTTGAAGTCAGAACACTACATTTGCTTGTCCAAATTTGGTTTTGTGTGTCAACCCCTATACTTAGTTTGTGAACTTTTTGCCATATTACTGTTGATTTGCTTTATTACTGTTAATTTGCCTTGCATATATTGTTTGCTTCTTTTATATTATTTTTGCTCTATTCTTTTTCTTGCTGTTGCTTATTATGAACTTTGTCAAATCTGTTTATAAAGCAGTTCTGCCATTCATTCATTTTATATTTAACCATGGCTACTCACTCCATACTTAGAAATTTAACAATCATAATGCAGATCATTGAATAGTCGTTATTTAAAATAGCTAAGCAATAAAGATTTTACCAGTATTAAAATTAAAGGAGAGAGATATCTGGAGTTAAGAAAAAAAAAAAAAAATTATATAAAAATATTAAAAAACGTGACTTGTACAATAGGCACTTTCGCCATAAATGATAATTCTTTTAAAAAAATTTTTTTATATTACTAAGATTAAACACTTCTGATCACAAATAATAAAAATAAAAAACATTAAGTTTTATAAAAGTTAATAGAGAAGTCCAGTTTGGCATGTACATTCATCGTAAATTGGTTTCCCTACGAAAGCACAAATAAAATATGCTCATAAAAATTTTTTCTTATAATGAAAAAAAAAATAAATAAATAAAATAAAAATAAAATAAAAAACAATTACATTGTATGAGCACATTCATTTAGTTTATGCAAGGGGGGTCAATTTACAATGAATTTACATAGCAAATTGGACCCCCTTTTTTACTTTTATAAAGATAATTTTTTTCTTTTGATATTTCTGATGTCAAGTGTTTAATCTTTACTAACATTAAAATAAAAAGATTTTTGGTCGCTGTTCCTATGGTACAAATTTTTTTTTTTTTAATGAATTGAAAATGACATTTAGAGTGGAGATGGAAGCCACAATATCCTGCAAAAAAAATTCATTTTTAAATTAAAGAAAGAAAGATGCTGTTATTGTTTAACACTGTTTAAGCTGCTATTTAAAGGACGGAGTAGGCTAACCATTATCATTTAAATGTCTCAACACTGTGCCAAAAATCATTTCAAATTCTTCCTATTTTCCTAAATGAAGAACAGTGGGGAGGAAAACAGTAAAGAGGACAAAGAATTTTTTTTTTATCTCTCAAGGTCATAGATTGTGAAGAAGAAAAATAAAATCAACCAGAAGCAACAATATCAATGACTAGTTTCCTACCAAGTCCTTTGTATTTTGAAATAAGATTCAAAATTGTTATTTTTATTAAAAGAATATTTTCACATGCAGGAAACAAATAAAAAAATATATATATATATATATATATATATATATATATATATATATATATATATATATATATAAATAAAACGGCAGTTTACCTCCATACATTAAAAATACATTATGCACAATATTGTGCGCATCTGCAACCAATTCTTCCACACAACGATATTTCTGATGCTGTACGTATTGTTCCATTGTGTTCAGATCCATGGGTCTGTAGACAAACCTTTTGAAACTCAATTCCTCATCTCGGTGTCCAATTTTGTGCAATTCTCGTGTCTGAAAAAAGAAATATGAAAAATAACTGAAAATTAATTTCTTATGCATTTGAAACGAAGTAGAATTTTATTGAAAAGCTTCCAGAAAATATTTTATTTCCTTTTATTATATTTGAAAATGAGAGATAAGGTGAATGTCATGTAAGAGGCTTAAATTATCAAATTGGAAAGAGTTTAGTATTTACTGGCTAATTTTGTTGTCAACTAGTGGAGAGAGAGAGAAAAAAAAAAAAAAGAAATAAGAAAAATTGGCTAAATTGTGTGTGCGTGTGTGTGTTTTCTCTTATGTATGTAAGAGTGCTTTATTTTAAATTGTTTTTACAACTTTTTAATACATGTAAAAAATAACATTTTTAATTAGCCATCATATCATACTTATTATAAAACCCAGGTTGTGTGTGTGTGTGTGTGTGTGTGTGTCTGTACGTTTATATATTGGATTGGATTTCCTACATTTTTCAACCAATTTCAACAAAACTTCACAGAACTACATAAAATTACTTTGCAGTGGTTCTGACAGTGCCAAAAATTGGAAAAACAATTGTTTTTGCACAAAATCAATTTGAAAACACAATTAAGAGGCCTCACTTTCGCGGAATGAAAGGGGGACAACTCATATCAAGTTATACTTATTATAAAAACCCGGGTTGTTTGTGTTTGTGTGTGTTCATTTATATATGGGATCGGATTTCCTACATTTTTCAACCGATTTCAATAAAACTTCACTTTTTTTTTGGCAGGTAGTGTTTCTTATTGTCTTGCACACTTTTTCTTTATTTTTACATTCAGAATGCTTTAAAAATTCCATTTACAAAACAATTGTTTATAATAAAATTCTACTCAATCGGTAGACGCATAACGATTGAAAACAATATTTTTGTTTGAGTTTGACCAATTCGTAAAAAAAAAAAAAAAAAACTAATTAAGACATGCGTGTCCATCAACCTTAAACAATAATCTTTGTCAATTTTATTTTTCAGTCTTTATGATGGTTGATACTTGATCTATCTCTTACTGTTACATCCCCGGGCAATGCCGGGCTCTACTGCTAGTTATTAAATAACTACCCATTTTAAAAAATAGTTAAGTGTAAAACTACTGTAAATGGGTAGGTTAAACAAAAGAGTTTTTTTTTTTTTATATAAGTGTGTATGTAAATAAAATTGAACAGGAATATCAGTTTAACAAACTCAGCATCAATTAAAGAAAATCCTTTTTCTCAAAATTCTTATTAATAACCATAATAGTTTTAGGATCAGAGCATAAATAAAAAAAACAAAAATAACCTCATCAGTATTAACATCTGCACCTTCATTCATTATCAAAGTGAATGTCCTTAATGTTACAAGATAGCAGACATAGAACAAACAAAAAAAAAATGTATCTCTTGCTCTACAGCAGTATTCTTTAGAATTAACAATAATATAGCTTCCCCTTTTCTAAAAAATATTTTCATGATAATTGTTCTAATGAGCTTTCCTTTTTGTACCTCATCTTTCTAAATTTAAGTGCTGTACTAGATTGGTAGCTAGGTTTCATAATTTACAGACTTCTTCCAGCTTCGAGCTTTCAAGTCTTCATTCAACTTCAAAAATTTAAATGCAATGTCAATTGTTATCTTTAGTCTTCTGAATTCCTTTTCTTTTATTGTTCTCTCTCCTTAATATTTTTTCTCATTTATATATATATATATATATATATATATATTACACTAAGGGACACCTGAACATGGTTAGCAAGCTTGTCTCACTAGAACAATTACAACCAAGGAATGAGTTTGTACTCACTTGGTGCCCCATACTTTTGGCCTTATGACACGTTTACGCTATGCTTAGAAAATCACATTTTTTTTTACTCAGTAACCCTTCTTTCTTAGTGGCTTTATTGCCTTGCTCAGAGTGAAATGATTAAAAAGATGAGGAAAAAATTCTTTAAAGACAAACAATTGATAATGTTTTTCTGAACATCTGACGTGGAAATAAAATTATTTTTTTTACAAACAACCATACTAAAATAAATAAAAAACAGATTTAAATCACCACAAAAATGTACTTATTTTATTGAAGCCAAATGCATTTCAGTTAAATAAAAGATGAAAAAGCAACAAAGAAAATAATCTAGAAATACATAACCCCATTAGATAGTAAAAAAAAAAAAAAAAAAAACGTCATGAAATTCATCATGTACTACTAAAAATTATGTACTTTATGGTTACTAACAACAATTCTCCACAAAAGAAAAAAAAACGCTTTACAAAAAACTAATACTGTATATCAATTTTCTTGTCCTTTGGGAAACAGAGTCTGTCAGTAAATGAAGTTGTCAGAATGTAGAACATTCTGGCCACTATCGTCCATCAACATTGATGAAGTAGGCATCTACCAAAGAAAATCATTTAATCCCAACTCAAAGAAAGAAATCAGAAAAGAAGAGGTCAAAAGAAGAGATTCAAGGACATTCTAGAACAAAACAGAAAGAAATGTAACATCGGCATCTGGGAATCCAGATACTGATGGAGATCCAGTATCAGAGATGGAACAATCTTCACATCCAAACAATCAGACAAAAAAAAAAAAGGACATCAAAAAGAAAGACAACAACCAAGACTTAATCCACCATCCAGAACAACCTGTCCTCGATGTCGAAGGAGCTTTCAAGCAAAATTCGGTCTCATTAGCCATCTCACAGTCCACAAAACCAACCCTTGATGTTGAGGGATTGTTGTGGAGTGATTTCACAGTGGAGGCTTGTATTTGTACTAAGTCGGTCCTAAAATAGGTTCGACGTACAAAACGTTAGCAACTTAATATAATAGGCATAACGCAGAGTAATCTAGTTGTGGTCGCTGATACTTCAGTATTTCGACTGTCGTCTGACATTGACTGACTGACTGCCTCACTCATTACTCTTTCTACTCCTACTTTTTATAGGTGGGATAGTCTATTAACTATAGAATAGGTGTGTTCCACTATAACAGGGATAGCCACAACTGATTGTACCAATTATCATAGGAATGTTGGGGTCTATACCACCCTCCTAAATTAAAAAATCTAAATAAGACTTAGTATACCATCACTCCAGGATCTGTTTTGTTTGATACTGTAAATATTCTGTGAAAGAGGCTGAGGTCATACAATTTGATATAGAACACCAATAATGCAAAATTTATTGAGGAAAAAAAAAACTACAAAAGAAGAAAATATAAGACATCAGCACTCTGATGAAGAAAATGGTGACTTACTGCATCGAAACAAGTAACGGCATGTTGTATGCATTATCTGTGGCCAAAAAAAAAGAGAGTGATCGCATGACTCCTCTTTTTATATAGAAAGCATCATGCAAATTTTTGTTCCATTTCAACAAATCACTGACTTCCTGACTTACATAAAACCACGTGCCTTCAGCAATGAATGATTTGTTTTTTTTGTTCATTGAAGTGCATGAATGTGTTTTGTGACCTACAGACTACAAATCTGCAACTTTTGACCTGCAGATTTTCGTTTATTTCTGCCACTTCTAGAATTCTTCAACTACAAGCACACATTCTGCAACATATCTCAAGAAAAGTGACCTGTTATCTCTTCTAGCAAAGCGCAACATTTAGACAAACAACATTACCACAGCACCCCTTATAATTGCTGTTAGATTTTGACTAACAATACAACAGTACTCTGCCAAACCAACTGGGAAAATAAATAAATAATAATAATAATAATTTCGGAAGCTCTTCACATCAAAAAGTTGGTAACTCACCAATAATAATTTTTTCAGTCTAGCAAGTATTAAAATGTTTTTGACCTGTCAGGTTATTTTAGTGACAGGACGCTAAATTTCTATTCTAGAGTCATAGCATGCAAATCAATGTTCAATTCAAACTTTTGGCTGTTAACAACAAACTATTTCTCAACTTTATGACTTTTTTCTTTGAAAATGACCAATGATTGTTGAAAGTACTTGGAATATAATTACAGAAAATTCTTTTACAAGTATCTGACAAACATCAAACAACTTAATTGATACCTAAAGATTACCAAAACACTTAACAGACATTCCCTGTCCATTCTATTTAATAAAACATGTTGAAATGAAAGACTGCTACCCAACTTATATATCTTCGGCATACATCTTTTCTTCAAAACTGTTTTGATAAATAAAAACTTATATATCAGTTCCCATATATTATATACTAGCAGTAGAGCTCAGCGTTGCCCGGGGATGTAACGGTAAGAGATAAATCAAGTATCAACCGTCATAAAGACTGAAAAATAAAATTGACAAAGATTATTGTTTAAGGTTGACTGACACACATGTCTTAAATAGTTTTTTTTTTTTTTTTTTTTTAACGAATTGGTCAAACCCAAACTCAAACAAAAACATTGTTTTCAATCATTATGAGTCTACTGATTGAATAGAATTTTATTATAAACAATTGTCTTGTAAATGGAATTTTTAAAGCATTCTGAATATAAACAAAGTAAAAAGTGTGCAAGACAATAAGAAACACTACCTGCCAAAAAAAAAATTAAGTTTTGTTGAAATCGGTTGAAAAATGTAGGAAATCTGATCCCATATATAAATGAACACAGACACACACAAACAACCTGGGTTTTATAATAAGTATAACTCGATATGAGTTGTCTCCCTTTCATTAATGCTTCTTAATCGTGTTTTCAAATTGATTTCATGCAAAAACAATTGTGTTTTTCCAATTTTTGGTGCTGTCAGAACCACTGCAAGATAATTTTACATAGTCCTGTGAAGTTTGGTTGAAATCGGTTGAAAAATGTAAGAAATCCGATCCAATATATAAACGTATTGACACACACAACCTGGGTTTTATAATAAGTATGATACTTACATACTTAAAAAGTATGTCCAGAAAGTATTCAACCATTAAATACTAGTGGGGTAAATCCTACATAGGGTAATGGTGACAGTCCCCTTCATCGACCATTTCACAGTTCGCCCCAGTTTTTTTAAGAGGAGTAGGTTATCTTTTGTTTCCTCTTTAGGCTTGGGTTTTCAGTTCCTTCTAAAGTCTACTTCCACTGTATAGCTTTAACACCTCCAACTGAACTCGGAAATTTCATTCACTAGTTAAATTTTAAGCTCTTCAAATCCAGAGTTAGCCATTATCTTTCCTGCATAACCCCCAGAACTTCATGTTTTGCCCTTTCTTACACTCATACAACACCACACAGTAACACACTAACTTGAGTGGCTTTTGGGCCTTGTATTGGGTGAACATTAGTATAAAGAAAACTTCCTTTGCAACATCACACATTTATCCCAGTATCTCTTACTTTCCAAAACAGTCTTTCAAGTTCTCTTTTGGAATCACCATCAGTGATAATCATCCATGGTGTTCCAATGCTGATTTTAGCTTTTAAAAAAGCCAGAAATTGCTAAGAGCCAAATCCAGATTCAAAACTGTGGTGGGGGAAGAATTTGACAGATCTGGGACTGCAATATTTTGTATAACAAAAAAAAAAAAAAAGATCTTATTGTTGGTTGGTTACAAATGTGATAATCAAACAGTACACTCAATAGCATCTCACCCTCTAAATGAGTAACTCCACAGGAGACACATATACAGTAAGGTAAGGCTCACTCATACACAAAGTCTCCACTGATTGGCTGCTAAGTTACATGGAGGCCAGATTTCAGGATACATAAAATGGTTGGGTGTGTGCATGTGCAAGCACAAAGCTATAATTGTGTTCAAGATAAAGTAGTAATTGTAGGTGCCTAATACATGGTTAAGATTTTAATAATTAGGGAGGGGGGTTGATTTTTCTCAATATGCAATAAACAGGAAGGATTTAATAAAAGAGGGATTGGAAAATAATGGATCAAAGTGTGAAATTAATCAAATGTGTGGCCTTAACCCTGTTAGTCAAAACAGATTTCCAAAAATGGATAGTCCCCTGGGGTGTTTACAGCTCCCAATGCAAAAATGTTTATGATGTTACAATTATGTAAAATATTGTTGTACTGCTGAAAAAAAAAAAAAAAAAAAAAAAAAAAAATACATAACAGGCAATCAAGACTTGAACTGAAGATATATTTATTCACTGAAATTAAAATCATAATAAATTTGTTGCCTAAACCTGTCGTTAATTGTACGTGAAACACACCAATACAATAATAGAGAAAAGTTTTATTCATAAAAAATAGCCAAAATATATTTCTGAAGGAGTAATAAAATATATATTATATTTATATAATATATATACCGTATATTTCCCCATATCAGGTGACCGATAGATAAGATGAGACCCAAAATTTAGGTAAATTTGTGTGATTTTATCTGATATATGTATAAGACAACCAACTGGGACACATGACAAAATCATGTATGACAATGTTTATGAGGAGCTCTTTGCATCGGATAGTGATGATCAGTAATTTTGAAGAGTTAATTATGTGGGTGTATAATGTGTTTTATTCTGTAATGAAAAATAAACATTTTATGGCATCTTAAATCTTTTCTTGCTTAACACCAATAAAAAAAAAAGAAAATAAAAAAACTGTTTAATGTATGTTATTGAGAAATAGTTTGCATGTTATACTAAATCTGGTTACTTAACACTAGAATGATAAATGAATTTTAATTAGAAATTCAGATTGTATGGCAATTAAATGCTATTTAATGCTACTATAAGAAATATTAATTGGTACAAACACACCCATAGCTCTACAAATCAAGAACAAACGATTTGTTTACATTACTTGTTACTTTTGTGTGTTGCTCAGCGGAACTTGTACAAACTGTTGTGAAATCATCTCTTGAATATTGCATTTTAATGTGAAATCAAGAAGTAACTTTATTACATCTGTAATCAGTCAGTTATGTGCCAAGCATGATACACACTAAGGTGATCATGTATCTTTCAATACATGACTGACAAGGCAGATTTTTTTCCTACGCTAGGTTGCTATTTCTTTCTGTGATAAACCAGTTGCCATCCAAGGCTATAGAACCTGGTCTGTTCTGCTATTTACCCACAGCTTGAGGGGAGGATTCATACCTTTCCCACAGGTATTAGCACCTAAGTGAATGTAATGCATCTGACTGGAATTTGAACTCAGCTCTCCGATTCCTCAACCTGAGCCGCTATCCATTACTCCACCGTGCCTCCCGCACATTTATACTACAGAATTATAATGTGAATTTTTTCAACTAGAAATATTTATAAAAGATAGTTACCATACCAAGGTAGTTGTTAGCCTACCGTGATCTATGGCACAAGCATACTAGCCTACTTATCAGTGTCAATACACCAGAGGATTTTAGCTTTTTGTAACCGTTGTATTAGACAACACCCTATTTTTAGTGGTAATTTTTAAGATTTAAAAATCACCTTATATGCAGAAATATACGTATATATATATATATATATATATATATATATATATATCATGAAAACTTACCTTCATTAGTTAGGTGAGGTGACAGGACACCCCCCCCCCAAAAGTAAAAATGACATCTGCTTCCCACAATAAATGCACTACAATTGTACCACATGACATGCTACATACACTGAGTCAGAATAGGGGGGTGCAAAAGAAGCAAGTTGCCAACTACTACGAGTACTTTAAAAATTTGGTGGTAATAAAACATACTATATGACTAATACAGGGTTAATAAGCTTGTGTGGGGTTTTTTTTGGGTGGGGGGGGGTCAAAAAATTAAAAATATGTTCTGACCACCCTACTATGTAATTATGGAAAGAATGATTTCGCATTAAGATTTCATATAGGCTTTTACAATTTCCATCAGGTATTTGAGTTTCCTCTCCTACCCCCCCCACTCATTTATTTGCATTTTTGAGTATAAATCATTTACATCTGACAAAAAGCAAGGACAAATGACATAATGGTAAACAGTTATTTTTGCCAATGGGATATCAGGAAGAATAGATAAAATAAAACAGATGAATATTCTACCTTTTCTTTTAGTCTCTGCACTGTGTAACCAAGAAGAGTATTTAGCATTTTGCCTTTGATCCGATTCCGTTTCCGTCCAGCCTGACAAAAATAAAATAAAAAAAACACACACACATTAGCAATTTTACTGTTGTACCCTAGGAAAAGGTTACTGAATAAGAATAATAAAAACAAAGGTTGGAAATGGAACAATAATATTTATAACAAAAACAACATACAAGATTTGTCAGCAGCATGTAGTAAGTAATCAACTGCTAATGGTGAACTAGAATTGAATCAAGGTGAATCACAAGTGAATCCCAGTAAATCCAACATATTCCACTGTATTTATAAGGATTGGGACATACCCATTATAGTCCATAAGTACAGCATCACATTGACTAAACAAGTTCCCATTATCCTCTCACTAAAACACCACACACAAATCAATAAAAGAATAACATACAAAAGAATAAGGATATTCCTGGATTTAAAAAAAAAAAAATCTAATTTATTTTTAAAGCTGAAATTAATACACAAGATATTTTGCACATCAGCATTTTGACTACTTTTATATGCCAAGTCCTTTCATAATATAGACGATCATAGTTCACCACAACTGCTTTAACAGATCGTGACAGTTATTAGGGAGATATGATGTTAAATGTTAAAAAAATTTATTCAGTATTATTATTGTTTAGGTAATAAGCATATTAGTTTAACTTTTTAGCACAAATAGCTATATTGTGGAAAAAGGGAATTTTCAACAATACATGCATTTTTTATGTATTCATTGTTATTTTTTTTTTTTTTTAACTTTTATCAACGACATTCTTGTAGATGTAGTTATGGATAATATTATACATTAATTATTAATTTTTTTAATTAATAACTATTTGTGTTCAGTTGTTGACATTAACAGCTATCTGCTGATGTGTTAAAATTTTGAAATAATGCAATAATAAAAATTTAAATTTCATCTGATAGATGTCATGATCTCCAAGTAATTTTTAACCATTTACCATTCCTCCTCATCCCTTTTCTTCAGTCTGTTCACAGGAACTCATTAAGTAGATTTTTGACATTTCTCTTGCATCTCTTGCCTTCAATATAGTGATTTTCTAAGCGTAGCTTAGATGTGGCACAAGGCCGAAAATATGCGACACCTAGTGAGGATCAAACTCAATACTTAGTCATAATTGTCCTTGCTGCTCTCACTTTCCTTTAAAATTCTTCCTGTGTTAGTGTAACATGGTCAATAGCACCAGATTTTTATAAATTTAGAAGCAGTAGAAATATTGTTTCTCAGGATATTGGACATATATAGAAATAGGTTAACAAATGGTGTTCACACAATAATTTTTTTAAATCAGAATCACTTCGAGCAAGGCAGTAATGCTACTAAAACACAAGGAATTACAGGGTGTGAAAAGAATTAGGAACAGAAACATTAAAGATTCACAGAAAGAGAAAAGTGTAATCAGATGGACAGCAGATAGCAATTTACATTGCATTTAAATTTTTGCAGATTAAATTTGGCTGGAATGCATGGAGTTAGAAAAGCAAGAGAAGAAACTGTTAGCATAGAATTTATGGCTACATCTAGCCAGCTCAACTATAACTTGATGAGATCTCAATGCCAGTCTAGTATTGTGCTAAAATCCCCAAATTCTAGATACCATAGCAAAGAGCTCATCTGAACAATTACCATGAAAGCATTTATAGAAAAGACATAGGCAACCTAACAGCAATAGGAAAGTGACTGAAGCTGAACCTCCAGATCAGAACCAATAATATTGCAGACTAGCTGCATGGCCCAGCATTGCCCGTGCTTGATTCAAAAATCGTACGATTCATACAGCAATCGCTATCACTTGACTTAAAATATTTTTGCCCTTCCTTGCCTTTAAAGGAGTGACCTTTGCCGTGCTGCATGCCTTACTTCTTGCCTATCTCACACTGCAAATTTTTTCCTAAGCTCTATACTAAACATTAAATCTGTTACGAAAAAAGAACTAAACAAAATGAACACAAAATGTTCAGCTTTAAAAAAGGACTCATAACTGGAAAAACTGAATGAAAAAAGAATGTTAACAACAAATACTTTTTCACACCCAACCCAGTTCTGCAGGATCAGAATCAATGTTGAGTTTAAGCAAGCGAATGAGCCAATTGGAGTAAAGTGCCATGCAGATTTAAATTTTTCCCACTTGTGATGAATGCAGCTATCGATTTTTTTGCATGCTAGTTAACATTCATGTCAGTCAGCTGTTGGCTCTCACGCTGGCCAATAGAATCTTCCTGCCTATTCGTGGCAACCAGCTATAGGCTCTCACTCTGGCCAGTAGAAAATGGCCGCAAACTACATGAAAACTGTCGTAGAAGCATGAAAAAAATTGATTATTTCCACTATCGATGGGAGTTGGAAAATGCAAAGTTGGTCTTGGCCTTCCTGCTAACTTGAGCATGTGCATGTAAATTTTGGTGCAAATTCATCAAAAATTGCAGCCGTGCACTCATTACACACACACTGCCTTTTATAGATAGAGATTCTTCTTTGAATTTCATCAAGGAGCTCAAAATAAATAGCAGGAGCACCAGACCAATATTCTAAGCATGGACAAATGGTAGACTTATAGGTATGTAAACTTAATTAGCATATTTCCTGTGTGACATCATCAAAAAGAGAAAGTTTTACATTACAAGGCCTGTATATTAGAGAAAAGTGAAAGCGAAAAACACAATAGAAAGAAAACATGAAAGACATCAAACCGAAGTACACAAAAATAGTGCATTTCTCTTGGAAAATATATAATAACCGACTCCAGATTTCCAAGTATACCTATCTGCTTGGATGACTAGCTAATCCCTGTTGAAGACATCTGTTCAGGCATGTTTGTGCTTCATGAACACCCACAGAGCCAAGATATAGTTTATACTTCAATTATACTGAACAGGTCAAAGTTACTGTTTCTGGGAAAGAACACACAAAGCCAGTACACTTAAACCCGCAGTCATGCTGACTTCATGTGAATTCAACTATTGATGATTTCATCTACCCAATTTCAATCACAAGGCTAGGGTCAACCTATGTTAAGGTTTTCACGCACTTCCTAACTGTGCCACATCGGAGTTCATCACCACAGGACAATATTATTAAGACCCCCTCCTTAAATCAAACAGAGCCGGTTTCAAACCTTGGTATCATGGTGAGAACATTAACATTCTAACCATTTGGCTATGCGATGTTCAAAGTAACTCTAAAACCAAATAGCTTGTTGCTAAGATACATATTTTTTTTTCTTTACTACAGTGTAACCTGGATATAAGAGAAACCCGGATATAAGAGAGATTTTCTCTGGTCCCAAATTAGAGACTGTGTTAATGTAAACAAAATAGACCAAACCCGGATATAAGAGAAACCCTGATATAAGAGACTTCTTCTCCAGTCCTGACAACTCTCTTATATCCGGGTTACACTGTATTGATAAGTGTTAAAATCCAGGATATCAGATGCTGATTTTCAAGGCAGGTTGGCCCTTCCTACTTGGAAGACCGACGCTGTTGTAAACTATAATTAGTTAAAAGTATTCACTACTATTTTTCTAGTAGTTTCATCTTCAGCGTTAGGATTTGTTTAGCCTCCAGCTGTATCAAATGCTATTTATAAGATTGAGATTTGCATATGAATACATTTTCCAACATTTTTTTTTTTTTGTAAATTTGGACTACTTTACTTTGGCAAAAGAAAGGATGCACTTTCAAAAAAAAAAAAAATAGAATAAAAATAAAAAAAGTAGTTAAATGAAAATATCTATGCTTCTAGTTATACAATTCTATGAATACTTTTGTTACAATATTAACTAAACCAAAACTAGGAAATTGTTAGCCCGAGTAATCTGGATACAAATATTCAAAATAGATTTCTGTAAGTATCTGTATATTTCTGAGATGAGGTATTATGTACACTATTTACATTATTCAGACTATTGTCCTCATCTTGGTCGCCATATTTATTACAAGTTTCGGTCATTGTACACTCCGTCTTTTTCAGGTGGTTGGAATGCCGAACAGAACCCTTTAGTTGGTTGGTTGGTTGTTTTGTTTTATGGCATACCAACCTTAGTGGGTCATTTAATGCCAACAAAATTTTAAAATAGATTCATAGCGATAGTTTGGTAAAAAAAAAAAAAAAAGGTGTATGTATATTTAAATCATTTTTCAATTACTTATATTTTTGAGTATGATCCAACTTCTTTTAGGAAATTTACAACCTTGGATGGTTTTATTTTTGTAAAGTTTTTTTTTAAATTACTCGGTAATATTTTGTTCTCACTAGATCAAAATCTACACATTCTAACAGTATATATTTCACTGTAAATGTTAATTATTGCTGATAATAATTTTTCCTTCAAATATTATTGCTGGTAATAATTTTTTTTATTGCAAAGTTTTTCTGGTATTAAAACCTATTTTTACACAAGTTTGGGTGTTACCTATTTTCCTATAGCTGGGACCCTAACAGGTTCTACCACTCCAACAGAACCCTTTATTTCACTCACTGGGATAGACTGTTCTAGTTCCATGTTTAATGGATGTCAATTATCAGTTATCTCCTGCTAATTCCCCTCTCCAAGTTCTCCATTGCCTTAACTAGGTATTGAACTCACAACTCTTTGGGTCCTGTCACTGGATCTAACCAACACCTTTATCCACTGTGCCATGTGTCCTTGAGGATTTCTGTAATGAGTTGAAGAAACACTTTAAGGTGATGCCTTCTAAAGTTAGTCCCTTGCATTCAATCATATGTTAAAGTTGTTGCACATTGACAAAGTAATAAGGCAAAAAAAAAAAATTTTTGTCGATCTTAACAGATGCTCACTGTAGTATTTCAGCATCGAATAGCATTTCTGAATCAGCCTTTCTTTATTAATACAGGAATTTTTCAATCTATTAGTTCTAAAAGGCATTCTTTCACCATATGCACTTACACAAAAACACAGTATTCCAACACACACATATATATATATATATATATATATATATAAGAGACATTTGAGTATACCAATACATCAAAGCAATAATGACCTATTAAGAATTTA